AAACTAAATTAAAAAAAAAAAAAAGAACTTATCTAGGCATTATGAAAAAAAATTTTATATAGAAAGGTATTTTTGGGAGTATGACACAAACTCACAGATGAACCCTAGTATTTTCTCCTGTAGTAACAGAGCCACAGTTTTTAGAGGGGCATGGCCAAGGAGAATAATGACTACATTTCCCATCCCTCTGCACCTCTCGCACCCATTTTTTTGTTTGTTTGTTTGTTTGTTTTTAAAGGCACAGGTACAGAGGGGCAGAGGCAGAGAGAGAGAAGTCTTCCATCCGCTGGTTCATTCCCCAAATGGCCAGAGCTGAGCCAATCTGAAGCCAGGAGTTTCTTCCGGGTCTCCCGTGAGGACCTGCACCTGCTTTCTGAGCAGAAGTGATAAGTACAACTTTTGGGTTATGCTCCCCTCCCCAACTTGCTCCCTTCCTGTTGGCAAGAAGTATGAAGGTGGTGTATGAGATGAAGTATATATCTTAGCCCAGCTGAAATCCAGATTCTAGCAGAGCATAAACTAAGAGTCCAGATTTTTAACGACTATGGAGTCATCAAAGCAGAACTGCCTACTGGTCTTCTATATGTAAGAGAATTAAACTTATTTAAGCCTTTGGTGTTTCAATTTCTCTTTTATAGTAAACTTTCTTCCTATGATAGGAGTCTTGGGGCCTGCACTGTGGTATCACAGGTAAAGTCACTGCCTGCAATACTGGCATTCCATATGGGCACCAGTTTGTGTCTAGGCTGCTCCACTGCTGATGCAGCTCCCTGTTAACAGCCTTAGAAAAGCAGCAGAGGATGGCCCAAATGTTTGGGCCACTGCCACCCACGTAGGAGATCCAGAAGAAGCTCCTGGTTTCGGCCATGCCCAGCCATGACCATTGCAGCCATCTGGGGGGTAACAGTAGAAAGAGGATTTCTCTGTCTTTCCCTCCCTCCCTCCCTCCCTGTAATTCTGACTTTCAAATAATAATTAAATTTTTTTTAAAAAAAGGAGTCCTCAAACTTCTCAAATTTGCAAAAACTTAATCTATTTCATAAACTAAATTATACAATCTATTTTCATGTACCTAACTAACAATGGAAGCAAATATCTTAAAGGAACACAATACATATATACTGGACCTATTTTAATTTCCTCCCGAAAACTCCAGGCTGACTTGCTATTCCCTTCTTACACCAACCACTTCAATGCTTCCAGGATATGATAAATAATCCTTCCAAGAGCTTGATAAATTGAGGGATCTCAAGTCAGCCACAGGGGGGCAGTCTTTACAGTAGAGCTTAGCCACTTTGTGCAGGTGCATTATCACTGGAAAGATAAAGGTTTCCAACCTGCTTTGGAAAACTGAAAAGGAGAGAGTCTGCATTCCGTAGGGAAAAGCTACACACAGCTGATTATGGACAAGGAAGGGATAGGACTCCTAAACAAGACACTATAAGCTCAAATTAGTATTTCTGCTTTCTAGCATCACAATATTCTGGCTTAAAATGTGAGCTTCCAATCTTCCTCCTCCTGCCATTCTAGGACACTCTCTCTGTATTGCTGGTTTCTTTCTAGCTTTATAAAGCAGACACCCTTTGTTCTATATTTGCTACAAATACTTCACACCATGATTCAATATTTCTATTTTTCCCTCCCTTGCCCTGCCCATACTTTTGACAAATCAGAATTTACTTCATCAATCTAAAGGGGAAGATTCTACTATGCAAGTAATTTTCTTCGCAGACAATAGAAACCACAGCCATCTATAGGTGCTCAATGATAACTATTACTGTAGTACTCAGGAATAAACAATCATTAACTACAACGTATTGAGCACCTGTGCTGGGCTCAATCATCGATAAAATCATCAATAAAATCATCTCTAATTCTCCTACAACATTGAAAGATAGGAAGTAATATTCCCATTTATTAGAAGAAAAAAAAACTAGGGTTCAGAGAGACTGTGAGACAAATAAGGAGTGGCTGAGATGTGAGATTGGCAACAAGCTCTGCTCAGGCACTTTTTACCACACTGTTTCTCTCCCACTTGGACCCACTTGCTCCTCAGCTGTCCCCTTCCATGTCACAGGCAGCACCTCTCTTTTTAATGAAAAAGACACTCTGTGAATGAAAAGTCAAACAGTGCCACTTTTTCCACCCTGCCATTTACTGGCATAGTTTCTAGGAATGCGCTTCACCAATAACCAGGGATAGTTTGTACCTGTAGACAGCTCCTCATCTCCAGGCCAGAGCATGACCTGTACTTCTGAGATAAACGGTAATGTTTATTTTCAATCTCTATTGCTTCTTTATAGCTCTTTCTGACTCTGCTGTGGCTCTTTTCAGGGCTCTTAAACCTTACACACAAGCCCACTTGTTTTTTTCTTTACTCCTAATTACCATGAGGTAGGTGGCAATGTGTCAAGAGAGCACAACTGCTCATCATTACTAGATGAATAAAATGCGAAACAGCAAAAAGTAAAGACTAACTTATCCCAGAGCATGTGAGCATGAAGAGCTCACACTTCACCTATCTGAAGTGAAAGCAGATTTTGAGTAACACATAGGACAAGCCTGTATCAGAAGTTCAGATGACAGTAACTGATTTGGTAAAGAGTTTGAACAGTGTGCTTCCCCAACGCCAAAACAAGGAGAGCAATAGAAAGTGGCTTTAGGATACCTGTTTCAGTAATTCTGGTGATGGAAGGCCCAAAGTCATATGGGTGCCAATTTGAGACCCGGCTGCTTCACTTCCAATCCAGCTCCCTGCTGATACACTTGGGAAAGCAGTGGAAGGTGGCCCAAGTCCTTGGGCCTCTGCACCCATGTGGGAGACCTGGAAGAAGCTCCTGGCTCCTAGCTTTGGCCTGGCCCAGCCCCGGCTCTTGCAGCCACTTGGGGGCTGAACCAATGGATGGAAGACCTCTTTCTCTCTGCCTTTGCCTCTCCCTCTCTGTAACTCCGACTTTCAAATTAAATAAATAAATCTTTTTTGAAAAGATTTATTTATGTAATTCAAAAGGCAAAGTTACAGAGAGGGGTAAACAGATAAAGAGAAATCTTCATCCACTGGTTTACTCCCCAAATGGTTGCAATGGGCCAGGCTGGGCCAGGCTGAAGCCAGGAGCCAGGAGCTTTATCTGGGTCTCCCATGTGGGCAGGGGCCCAGGCAGTTAGGTATCTTCCACTGCTCTTCCAGGCCCACTAGTAGGAGCCAGATCAGAAGAGGAGCAGCTGGGACTCAGTCACCCATATGAGATGCTAGCACTACAGTTGGTGGCTTAAACTGCTACGCCACAATGCCCAGCCCCAGGTATCAATATTTTCTTAAGCAGTAGATGATTCTTAAGACAAAGTCAGTCTGTGAAAGTATTTAGTGGATTTACAGATTTTAAACTACCTATACCACTATAAGTTTTTACCCAATCCTTATCTAGCTATATAAAGTAGCCAACATATTTAAAACTTTTTATCTTTTACTGGAGTATTCCTATCAAAGCAATCTACTTGCAGCAGGTGCTGGGGTATAGCAGAGTGCCAGTTCAAGTCCCAGAACCTCTGCTTCCAACTCAGCTTCCTGCTAATGTCACCTTGGAGGCAGCAGATAACAGCCTAAGTATCAGGGATCCTGCCACTTACATGGAAGAACTAGATGGAGTTCCAGGCTTCTGGCTTTGGCCTAGCCCAGCCCTGGCTGTTTCGGTATTTATTTGTGGAGTGAACTAACAAATGAAAGATATCTCTCTCTCTCTGCCTTTTGAGAAGATGAAAATAAATAAATAAATTTTTAAAACAATTCACTTTCCTTGGACAGGCTGGCTTTCAATATGGAAAACAAATACCCATAGAGTCTATCATCCAAAAAATTGAGATAGTTTAACTCCGGATATTCTAAAAGCAAGAATAATGTATACATTACAGTCAATGTCTCAAAAAGTTTCATTTAGTTTTGGAAAGGTGAATGCTGCATCAGCAGACCTGGGTTCAAACCTCTATCACTGGCTGAGTGCTCTTAAGAAAGTAGTTTACCCTCCTGTAGCCAGTCACTTCATTTGTGAAATGGGCAGAAACTTCCACTTTGCAGTTGGATGAGGATTACAGATAATGTATAAATACAAACATGGCATACATTAAGCACTCAATACACTACATCTTTTTAACTGATGCTGAAAAACCTGGATCTAAGTGCTATTTTATAGTTCTCTCACTACCTTAATTCTTCTGTACCTCAAATTATAAGGAAAAACAAGTTATCTAGTAAACCAAGAATCATTAAACAGATCACACAGCAAGGACATCAGAAGTATAAACTGTAGCACTCACTCTCCTATCAGAATTAAAACCAGGGCTGGGCGTCTGGCTTTGCAGTTGAGAAATGTGGTGAAATTACCCATCCCATATTGGAGTGAAAAGTTCTGTCTATGAAGTCAGTCACCTTCAGTGTCAAAGACACAGCACTATGTCCCTCTGTCTCTTGGACTATTCCAAGACCCTCCATAATACATACCCCGCTCTGGTCAATGATTACCATAGAAATAGAAGGGTTTGGGATCAGCATTGTGGTGTAGTGGGTTAAGCCGCAGCCTGCAATGCTGGCATCCCATATGGGTGCTGGCTTGAGTCCCGGCTGCTCTGCTTCTGGTCAGGCTCCCTGTAATGGCCTGGGAAAGCAGTGCAAGATGGCATAACTGCTTGGCCACCCACATGGGTCCATCCAGAAAAACCTTCTGGCTCCTGTCTTCAGCCTGGACCAGTCCCAGCCATTGCAACCATTTGGGAAGTAAACTTCTCTCCCTCTCTGTTAAGTCTTTCAAATAAATAAAATAAATCTTAAAAAAAAAAAAAAAAAAGAAAAGAAAAGAAACAGAAGGGTCTAATATCAATTATTTGTTTTTCCTACAGGGCTTTCATCTACAGGTTTTTATAGATCAGCAACTTTCCAGCACTGTCAATTATTCAGGCAAACCATATTCCTTTACATCTTGATCTCTACATCCCAACCCAACACAAACCTTGGAGGGCTGAATCTTTGGTGACTGGGTGGTCCCTTCTCCAGCAGTTATACCCTGTTTTTGAGGGGATACAGCTATCATGTGACCCCCTTTCACAGTCACATACTGAGGGAGCGGCGACTGGTTGGTAGCTCCTGCTGTGGGCATGTGAGGGGCTTCCCCGGGTTCCTGCTTGATGATCACCTGGTAACAAACAAAATAATGACACTGAAAGGACAACCCCACCAGAGGGGTAAAATCACCGCTTACATACACTCCCGAACAGCTACAAAGGGATCAAAAGTAGGATCTGGACTTGATCTTTTGCTTTTGCAAACTCAATCAAGTCACTTTTTTGGAGACTGGTGGCAAAATGGCAACGAAGAGACACAAAAGCCCTGTGTTCTCTGGATGTGCCACCATGCTGTACTCCAAGGGAGTGCACATTACTAAATAAACAGAAATATATCTCAGAATGAAGGTCTGGTTACTAACAAGTAACACACAGGAGGAGTCTCAATCAACTCTTGCATGGTATAAAAAGGATTAAGTAACAAGACCACACTGAATGGTGGGATAATACCCTAACAAATACTCACTTTTGTGAAAGCTCCAAGTCCTCCAGTTATAGGTTTAGGGCTTTGAACCTTAGGGTGACTCCCAATTGGGCAGAGAGGTGGCATGGATGCAAACAAAGAATCCTCCTGCTGTGTGTACAAAAATACATGTGTACAATCAGGATAAAATGGGTAATTTCAGATAGCCTAGTCACTTACATTTAAGATAAATATATGATACTCTCTAGCAACAGAAACAACCAAACCAAACAAAACATCTAAAACTTCAGGTCGTCAAGCCTCTGTGCTTGCATTTGTCTTCTTTTAGAAATAAATGCAAAGAAAACTATAACTTGGCAAGCACTGCCTTATCTATGTCCCACTATATGTTGGAAAGACCTCTATCCTACCACTTCTAAGAAAGGTTGACTTTACTGCTATGTCTAGCTCCGTGCTAGACGGTGAACTATTAAAGAACCGGGACTGTGAATTGTTTGTTATATCCCCTGAGCCTGGGCACTAAGTACATAAGTGAAGAACTATGTAGATACAATGTTTCATATTTGCTCTTGGAATATACTCACAATTTAATTTGTAAAATTGACTCAACAGACACACAAACTACAAAGGAAAATATTTTAATAATAATGTCAGAAACAAACCGGCAAAAATAACTCAGCATATGCAATGACAACAATGATCAACATTCAAAGCAACTGCAGCCTGCCTCTAATTTTCAAACATAAAATGTAATCTCAAGAAATCCGCTGCAATTAAGTTTTAAATTAAATACAAATTTTAGGAGCAACAAAGTTATGCAATTTCTGGATTATATAATGAAAAGGTCACCAACAAACATGAAAAGTTAAACTGGTTGAGTTAAGACCTTCAAGGGAATTACTACAATTCATTCATTCATAGACCATAGTGAATGTCACATACTGCCTAGAATTTAGAAGAAAACCTTGCTTTGAACCAGGAAGCCACTTAATATCTAAATATAAGAAATACAGGGCAGCACTGTGACACAGTGGGTTAAGCTGCTGCTTGCAACATCCATATTCCAAATGAAGTGCTGATTTTTGTCCTGGCTACCTGGCTTCCTATCCAGCTTCCTGTTAATGTGCTGGATTGGCAGTATATGGTGGGAGACCAGATGAGGCTTTGGCTGGCACAGCCCAGGTTGTTGTAGGCATTTGGGGAATAACAAATGGATGCAAGAGCTCTCTGTCTCTCGCTCTGTCACTTTGCCTTTCAAATATATAAATCTTAAGAAGAAAACAAAGGAAATACAGTGTTAGACACCGGTCTTGTGAGAGAGATGATCTCTGCACCACCGAGTCCTCAGGTAGGAGTTTATGCCTTAAAGGTTTTGGACTGGGCAGTCAAGACAAGTAAGCTGAATATCCAACCAAACAGTAGAGAAGTATCACTGTAAGAAGACATTTAGCACTTTGATCTCAATAAGTCACATCATATTTGGAGTACCAGATTTCAAAGGACTCTTATCCTGAAAAAGGAGGAAAAAAACTTTGTGGAAACATACTTTTTAGGAGCCATCATTATGGTCTAACATGTTAAACCGCCACCTGCAATGCTGGCATTCCATATGGGCACCAATTCGAGTCCCAGCTGCTAAACTTCTGACGCAGCCCCCTACTAATGAGCCTGGGAAAACCAGCAGAAGACAGCCCAACTGCTTGGCCCCCTGCAACCCACAAGAAGACTGGGATGAAGCTCCTGGTGTTTGGCTTTGGCCTGGCCCAGCCCTGGCCATTGCAGCCATTTGGAGAACAAATTTTTCTGTCTCTCCCTGTTAATCTGCCTTTCAAAAAAATTTTTCCAATAACTGAAAAGCTAACATATGGAAGAAGAAATGTATTTACTTCTTAGTGGTACAATATAGGAAAAAAGGAATATACTATCAGTTGAGTATCTTTATAAGGAAATATTTTTAACAAAGCTGTCTCAACCCTACAAAATAATAAGGGCATTGTCTCATTACAACAAAGTTTTCAAATAAATACTGAGCGAAGCATTTTCTACACCAGGAAAAGATCAAGATGAAGTGGTATAGTCTGGAGTAATGATTTATCTGCTTGAGGAAGTCTGCTTAACACAATTTACATCATTATCTGACACACTCTTGATGAGACTGAACATATTATCTTCAGGAACTAACAAAGTACAGTATGAGTTTTACCTTGACAGTAGACGTTACAAAACTACTTCCATGAATTTTAGGAATAGGGGAACCTGTCCCTTGGGAGACCTGAGAAGTCGTGGAGAGCTTGTTTGTAGGACTTCCTGATAAGCAAGCCAGATATAACAATTAAATATAAGCAAAGTAAAATTTGCAAATTATAAATTTAAAATTTTTTCAGTCACTCTCCTCTCTTTTTCACTATTTGTTTTTCATTTTTAAGGGTTGATAACTAATCATCCTAAAGCTATTATGGAAAAAAACACTTAAAGACTCATCTCTATGAAGTTGTTTCATGGTCAACCTGAAAAGGGGTAAGAAGTTGGTAAGATTTATAGAAGCAAGAGTATACTTATTATTCTCTATTCCTTATATTATAAGACACAGTGTAACATAATGGTACTGGTTGTGGCACAAACCTGCTGGAATGCATGCATTTCACTAGGAGGTTATACCTATTCTACAATACTGCCAACATTAAAGATTTTATATCCCATCTGTATAACTGCATCTAAGATCTGATAAAAATGAATTGCATTATCTATAATCATTAAGTGAAGATCTAAAATCATACTCAATCATCAGTTACCTACTGCATTAATCGTACTTGTCTCTGAAGACTTATGGCTAATTCCTAAAACTAAACATCCTCAAAGGACATTTATCTGACATCCCTAAATATATTCAAATGGCTATCAGGTAAGCCCTGAAATAAATATTTTTTAAAGGAGTTTCACAATTATAATAATTGTTAAAGTGTTTGGCTTTTCAAAAGAACCCAAAAAACAAAAACAAAATAACAAGTATTTGGAAAAGCCCAACAAATATTCATGTATATTAAAACTAGTATGTTTAAAAAAATTGGCCTCACAATCTTATAACTATCCTGTTTATTTCATGTCTCTTTATTTCTTTTAATTGGAGAAGTTTATACTTAGGAGCACTTGTTTAAGTAAAATGTTAATGAAAGCACTTAAATAAACCCAGAATAGCACTTCATAGTTTTATAGGATTACAACAACAAACTGTGAACCCCAAATCTTCTTATTCCTATTAGACCTCCCTTTTTAACTGCTGCAGGTTTCAACTTCTACCCCATGGGCAACATGTGTCTTACAGAAAATAAACATTACCTTTATTTGACTGAGGAGAAATAATGACCCACAAAGCTATCACTGTACTAAAAGTTCAATTTTAGGGAATTAATTATGACTCACTTTAAATACTTAGAAAACTTAATTCCTAAAAATGTCCACTTTTAGAAACAGTAAGTCATCCCTCAGAGAAACAGTACTGAGATTATTTTTATATATTCCCTCTTATTGTTTATGAAGGGAAATTTCATTCACATAACTAAGTCATGGCAGGATTTCATGTTGCATTTTGTTATTTTTAGTTTGAAAATCTTAATTTTATTTTCAAATCTAGAATTGGACAACACTTCATTCCATTAAACACAGAAAATGTTCCTGGATTGCAACTTCAAAAAAAGAACTGTACAAATGTTCATCAAATACACACCTGTACTGGGAGTAGCAGCTCCAATAACCTGTCCAGGCTTGTCCATGATAACATAAGGATTATTAATTACAGAGCTGGCAGGGCCTTGTTTTACATGAACTGGAGTGGAAGTTGGTGTTCGAGGCAATGGTGATGGACTTGGAGTCGAGATTGGGGAACCTTATCAATGAAAAAGAGATAAGCGAAACAAAATAAACCCAGGCAATTCATCTAAGATGTTGAAAACAAAGATGAGCAGCCGAGAAACAAAAATGGGACCACAAGCTTTGGGTACTGAGCAGCAGTGACAGTGCAGCTGAGGGCTGGGAGCACTGTGTCTCATCCTCATCCATGAGCCAGCAGCATCAGCACCACTGGGGATCTTGTTAGAAACAGACTGAGGTCCCATCCCAGATCTACAGAATACAAATCTCCACTTTAACAAGATCCCAAGGTATGCACATTAAAATTCAAACAACAGTGCTTTACATAACAGTTTAGAACTGCAGAAGATTGACTCAACATCATAGGCAGGTTATTAAAATTGCTGGCTACACTTGAAGACACTAAAATTAGGAAGGAAATCAGATGAACAGTTAGATTTAGGAACCTAAATGTCTTGATGTACAATTAATTTTTGAATAAGAGAATGTGATATTTATTACTCCCCAAGCAAAAATATGTCAACACAATGCCACAGTAACAATTCCATAAGATTCATGTTCTCACAGAATACTTTCAAAGTGTAGGGTTAAGTATCTACGATTGTTTTTTATTGATCAAATCTTTCATCAATGAAGTTTTCTAAATCTCAAACCAACTACACATTCCGTCATCTCCACCTCTGAAGCAGCAAAGTTCCAAAATGTTCTTAACTGGCGGGTAAAATGATATATTCTTGACTTTTCATCGATTCCAAAGATTCAGATAATCTTTCTGTTCAGTTATCTACTTTTAGCATTGAAGATTCCCTTTCTCTCTGTTCATGTAAGTGTTGTACAAAAGCTCTCCTATTGCCTGGATACTTTCAACTGCCTTCTTTCTCATCTTTTCAGAGGTGGTACAATTAAAACCATAAAGTATATTCCTATTAGAAAATTTATTTCATATAAATGTGAAACTGTCATGAAACAAAGGTCAATCCAAACCTAGTGAAAGAAGCCTTAGAACTACCTACTGATAAAAGGAATAAGTAATTCTTCTTTTCAGAATAGTTTTAAATTTACAAATATTGTAAATTAGTAAGTACACAGTTCCCATATTCCCCCAACACAGCTTATTAGTATATCTGTCACAGTCAATAAACCAGAAAAGATACTTCATTTCCAAATCAATTCCGACCTTTATAGCTTAACTCCAAGCCAAAAGGCCGCCAGATTATTTCTATTAATAGTCAATCTATTTTCCAAATATAATCTCCAAACTAAATTCCTATCTTAATTTCAGCCATGGATCATGGCAAAAAACACCATTGCTGATTCCAGGAGATAAAATTTGATCATTTTGTATTTCATTGATTCCCCCATTCAAAAATTTCAATATGAATTAGTTTTGCTTTTGATTTGTGACAGTTTTGTTAATCAAAACTGATTAGCTCTCATTTGTTAAACATACACATACTGCTTAAAAAGAACTTAGGGGGACAAAAAGCCACAGTACTTTGTTCTGTCATTCAACAATCTTAACACCTTGTCAACTTCACTGGAATCACCTTTTACACATCTTCTGCATACCTGAGACAATTTTACAGCTCATTGTGATAGGCTGGAAGGATTTTCCAGGTGACTCAGGATTAGGAACCTGACTTTGTGGCACTATTTTGCAGCTTGATGCTATTGGCTGAAAAGCTGAATTGCCATGAGAACAAAAGGTAACTTTCTGTGATGCTGTCACTTTTGTGGGTGTTCTTTCCAAAGAAGATGGCAAAGAATAAAATGTAGTGGGTCTCTCAGCTTCACTGCTAGTTGGAAACCCTGTTAAATGAAATGGGCAAAGGGTAAGTTACCAATTGCTTTGAAATAACAAGATCTTTCCAATGTGAAAAAAGAATTAAAATGCCTTATTTCAACACCCTGTTACTGTAGTAAAATAATTTATTACCCTTTTATACTTTCTATAGGGAAACATGCTTAATTGTATTTAGTTAAAATGCTCTTTTCATGGGGCCGGCACTTTGGCACAGCATGTAAAGCTGCCACCTGCAGTGCTGGCATCCCATATGGGTGCTGGTTCGAGACCCAGCTGCTCCACTTCCGATCCAGCTCTGCTATGGCCTGGGAAAGCAGCGAGGATGGCCCAAGTCCTTGGGCCCCTGCACCCGTGCGGGAAGACCTGGAGAAAGCTCCAGGCTCCTGGCTTCAGATCAGTGCAGCTCTGGCTGTTGTGGGCATTTGGGGAATGAACCAGTGATGGAAGACCTCTCTCTCTCTCTCTGTCTCTCTGTCTCTCTTCTCTGTGTGTAATTCTGACTTCCAAATAAATAAATAAATAAATAAGTCTTTAATAAAATAAAATGCTCTTTTCAGGAAATTAGAAAACATTAACTAAAAATCATATATAATATAAAAGGAAACAAGTTCATTGTGTCCCTACATTTTCAAATACATAAATCAGAAAAACTATTTAAAGAGAAAACACTCAAGGCATATTTCAGTGTTCACATGGACAAGGCACCTAAAAAAGTTATGGAAAGTACATATTATAAAAAAATAAGAGGCATGGCCAGCACCACGGCTCACTAGGCTAATCCTCCATGTGCGGCGCCGACACACCAGGTTCTAGTCCCGGTTGGAGCGCCAGTTCTGCTCCAGTTGCTCCAAGTGCTTGGGCCCTGCACCCGCATGGGAGACCAGGAGGAAGCACCTGGCTCCTGGCTTTGGATCAGTGCAGCGCGCTGGCCGTAGCAGGCCATTTTGGTGGGGGGTGGGGGGGTGGTGGGGTGGTGAACCAACGGAAAAGGAAGACCTTTCTCTCTCTCTGTCGCTCTGTCTAACTCTGCCTGTCAAAAAAAATAAATAATAATAATAATAAGAGGCCGGTGCTGTGACGCAGCAGTGTTAAAGCCCTGGCCAGAAGTGCCGGCATCCCATGTGGGCGCCAGTTCGAATCCTGGCTGCTCCTCTTCCGATCCAGCTCTCTGCTATGGCCTGAGAAAGCAGTAGAAGATGGCTCAAGTCCTTGGGTCCCTGCACCCACATGGGAGACCCAGACATTCTGTTGATCTACTGATCAACAGATAATGATCTTATCAAATGCCTGAAAGGAAGATGCAACTGAAACGAAGGACAAAGTAAGATTTTATAGAAGAACTAAAATATTAACATTATATTGAAACATATGCTTAGAGATAAAACTAGTATCATTTAGAATCAACTTTATCTTTAGTGAAGTTACTTCAAAAAGTTCTTGGAAAAATGGAATTAAAATGAGTTTATTTTCATGCAAAAAAACCTGATTCTTATGTTTTAGATTTATTTTGGGTCCGGCACCGTGGCTCACTTGGTTAATCCTCCGCCTGTGGTGCCGGCATCCCTATGGGTGCTGGATTCTAGTCCCCGTTGTTCCTCTTCCAGTCCAGCTCTCTGGTGTGGCCTGGGAAGGCAGTGGAGGATGGCCCAAGTGCTTGGGCCCCTGCACCCGCATGGGAAACCAGGAGGAAGCACCTGGCTCCTGGCTTTGGATTGGTGCAGTGCCGGCCGTGGCGGCCATTTGGGGAGTGAACCTACGGAAGGAAGACCTTTCTCTCTGTCTCTCTCTCTCACTGTCTAACTCTGCCTGTCAAAGAAAAAAAAAAAAAAAGATTTATTTATTTTTATTTATTTGAAAGACAGGGTTCCAGAGAGAGAGGTCTTCCATCCACTGGTTGACTCCCCACATGGCTGCAACGGCACCAATCTGGAGCCATTAGCCAGGAGCTTCTTTCGGGTCTCCCATGTGGGGTCAGGGACTCAAGGACTTGGGTCATCTTCTACTGCTTTCCCAGGCCATAGCAGAGAACTGGATTGGAAGAGGAGCAGCCGGGATTAGAACCAGTACCCATATGGGATGCCGGCACTTCTGGCCAGGGCTTTAACCCACTGCACTAGAGTGCCGGCCTCATTTTTTTTTAATATGTACTTTTCATAACTTTTTTAGGTCCCTTGTCCGTTGAACACTGAAATATGCCTTTATACACTGAAATATTTATGAAAAATATTTTAAAATACATTTTAAAATCAGTCTTTTAGTTTAACTAAGATTACTATTTAATATTCCAATTTATTCACACAGAAGTTGAACCAGAAAGACTTCCTGCATATAATAGAAAAAAAAATCATAATCCAGAGCCGGCGCCGTGGCTCAATAGGCTAATCCTCCACCTTGCGGCGCCGGCACACCGGGTTCTAGTCCCGGTTGGGGCGCCGGATTCTGTCCCGGTTGCCCCTCTTCCAGGCCAGCTCTCTGCTATGGCCAGGGAGTGCAGTGGAGGATGGCCCAGGTGCTTGGGCCCTGCACCCCATGGGAGACCAGGAAAAGCACCTGGCTCCTGGCTCCTGCCAGGATCAGCGCGGTGCGCCGGCTGCAGCGGCGGCCATTGGAGGGTGAACCAGCGGCAAAGGAAGACCTTTCTCTCTCTGTCTCTCTCTCTCACTGTCCACTCTGCCTGTCAAAAAAAAAAAAAAAAAAAAAATCATAATCCAAGGGTAAAAATTTAATGCTTTTTAGTGACTTTCATTTTACAAATGTTGTGAGAACTTGATTGAAAAGAATGTTTGAAAAGAGCAAAGATTTAGGGGTTGGTGTGGTGGCACATTAGGTTAATCCTTTCTGCCTTTGGCACCGGCATCCCATGTTGGCGCCGGTTCTAGTCCTGGCTTTTCCTCTTCCAATCCAGCTCTCCACTGTGGCCTGGGAAAGCAGGAGAAGATGGCTCAAGTCCTTGGGCCTCTGCACCCGTGTGGGAGGCTGATAGAAGCTCCTGGTTCCTGGCTTCAGATGGGCGCAGCTGTGGCCACTGCGGTCATCTGGGGAGTGAACCAACAGAAGGAAGACCTTTCTCTCTGTCTCTCCCTCTCACTGTCTATAACTCTAACTCTCAAATAAATAAATAAAATCTTAAAAAAGAAAAAAAACAAGAGCAAAGATTCGGCTATTTTCACAAGAGAACTGTGTAGTACAAACAGTATGCTTATCTATGGAAGATTTATTGTCCATATTTTAAGTCTTTGAAGATCACTATCACATCATGCAAATGAGAAAGGAATGTCCCAGAATTACTAGATCCAAGGAAAAATGCTGTTACCTTTTTCCCCAGCGCTATCAGATATGGGTTCATGTGACTGCTTTATTGGTGAAGAAGCTTTCACAGGGGCTGGAATGGTCAGAGGCAAAGATGGAGGCGCATCAGAGATGTCTGACTCAGAGGACTGAGGATAAATGTAGTCTTCACCAAGAGAATGCCGATGGAGTTCCACGTCCACTACCTACACAAATGGGCAAAGCAGAACTCATCAGTGTCACACAATGCACAACTTCTGTCCAAGAATGTGGTATTTGTCACTTCGAAGGCATTTTCAATCTCAAGAACTAAAGAATTTATCCTAGAAGGGGATCTAGTCTGGCTTAAAAGATATCTTAGTGAAATGAATCACAAAACTGGGGCCTTCCATTTGCTGTTTCTACTTCCTAGCACACTCTTCTGCCCAATCATGGCAGGGGTGCCTGTCTTACCTCTAGGCCTCCTATCAAGTCCAATCAAATGTTACAGTCTCAGAGACCTTTCCAAACCACTCTGGTTTAAACAACTCCCTCATCCCCCAAATACTTCTTCATAGTGCTTTTTTGTACGTAAAATTATCCTGCCCACTTTTGTGTTTACTGTTTAAACTCATTCTCAATACTACCAAGTATATAGCTTTTATTTTTTTAAAAAAAAGATTTATTCATTTATTTATCTGAAATGCAGAGCAAGAGCCAAGTGCAAGAAAGAAATCTTCCATCTGCTGGTTCACTTTCCAAATGGCCACAATGGCAAGGGCTGGGCCAGGTGGAAGCCAGGAGCCAGGAACTCCATCCAGGTCTCTCAGGTGGGTGGCAAGAGCCACGTACTTGGGCCAACTTCCACTGTCTTCCCAGGCACATCAGCAGGGAACTGGATGGGAATGAAGCAGCTGGGACTCAAACTAGCACTCCAATTTGGGATGCCAGCTTTCTAGGCAGAGGTTTAACCTGCTATTCTGTAATATAGGGCCCCAAATATTTTTCTTGAAAGTGGAAGCTATAGAAGCTCTCTTATTCATTACAGTATTTCCAAGACTTAGATCAGTATCCTGATTACAGTAGGTGTTCAACAAATGTCTTCTGATAAAATACAGCAGATTTCTCTGGGCAGAATAAGGCTTACAAATAGCTGATTCTGACTATCATAGCTACTGCTGAAAAAACATTTTTTTTTTAAGATTTATTTATTTGAAAGGCAGAGTTATAGAGAGAGAAAGAAGAAGAGACAGAGAGATTTTCCATCTGCTAGTTCACTTCCCAAATGGCTCCAATGGCTGGAGTTGGGCTAGGACAAAGCCAGGAGCCAGGAGCTTCTTCCAAGTCTCCCACGTGGGTGCAGGGTCCCAAGGATTTGAGTTATCTGCTGCTACTTTCCCAGGGGCATTAGCAGGGAGCTAGATTGGAAGTGGGCAGATAGGACTCGAACTGGCACCCATACTAGGATGCTGGTGCTGCAGACGGTGGCTTAACCTACTGTGCCACAGCGCTGGCCCCTACTGCTGAAATTTTACTATGAATACAAAAAAGAAGAGGGGGGATGGAGAACAAAGTTGGAGGTCTTACACTTCCTGATTTCAAGACTTATTACAACAAAACTTTCTGAAAAAACAATATGGTGCAGGCATAAAGACAGGCATATTGGTCAGTAGAATAAAATAAACCCTCATGTACATAAGTACTTCAAAAGTTCTTGGAAAATGTAAATGGTAAATTTATTACAGTGCAAAAATTTTTTGAAATTCATGTATTTTTAAGAGGTCTTCAAAAAGTTAATAAAAATGATTACAAAAAAACTATGCACAGATTTGAAAAACTTTTTACACCAAAATAATAATTTTTGCTGGTGCCGCGGCTCACTAAGCTAATCCTCCGCCTTGCGGCGCCGGCACACAGGGTTCTAGTCCCGGTCGGGGAGCCAGATTCTGTCCCGGTTGCCCCTCTTCCAGGCCAGCTCTCTGCTGTGGCCCGGGAGTGCAGTGGAGGATGGCCCAAGTGCTTGGGCCCTGCACCCCAGGGGATACCAGGAGAAGCACCTGGCTCCTGCCATCAGATCAGCACAGTGCGCGGGCCGCAGCACGCTGGCCGCGGCGGCCATTGGAGGGTGAACCAACGGCAAAGGAAGACCTTTCTCTCTGTCTCTCTCTCTCACTGTCCACTCTGCCTGTCAAAAAATAAAATAAAATAAAATAAAAATAAAAATTCAAAATAATAATTTAATTATATTTTCCACAAACTCTTTGAACTGCCCTTGTATATGATCAAATGATCTTCCACAAGGGTACCAACACCATTCAATGGGTAAAACAACAGTTTTCTCAACAAGTGGTGCTAGGAAAATTGGATATCCATATGCAAAACAATAAAATAAGACTCTTGCATTATTCAGAAAAATTAACTCAAAATGATCAGGGGGCCTGGCACTGTGGTATAGTAGGCTAAGCCTCCGCCTGTAGCGCCAGCATCCCAAACGGGCACCAATTTGAGTCCTGGCTGCTCCACTTCCAATCCAGCTCTCTGCTATGGCCTGGAAAAGCAGGAGAAGATGACCCAAGTCTTTGAGCCCCTGCACCTGCATGGGAGACCTGGAAGAAGCTCATGGCTCTTGGCTTTGGATTGGCCCAGTTCTGGCTGTTGTGGGCATTTGGGGAGTGAACCAGTGGATGGAAGACCTTTCTCTCTGCCTTTCCCTTATTCTGTCTGTAACTCTACCTCTCGGATAAATAAATAAATCTTTAAAAAAATTTAAAAAAGGGATCAAGGGTGGGTGTTTGACCTAACATTAAGTTACCAGCTGGATGCTTCTATCATGTTCCAAGTGCACAGGATCAAGTTCTACCTCTGCTCCCAATTCTAGCTTCCTACCAGTGTGCATCCTGGGAGGCAGTAGGTGATGGCTCAAGTAGTTGAATCCCTACCACCCACATGTGAGACCTGGGTCAAGTTCTACATTCTTGTCTTCTGCCTGGACCAGCCCTGGCCATTGCATGCATGTGAAGACTGAACCAGCAGATGGGAGCTCTCTTTCTCTGTTGTACTTTGCCTCAAATAAATATAAAACCTCAAAAAAAATACATCAAAGACATATACACGAGAGCTAACAATCAAAATCTTAGAAGAAAGCTTAGGGGGAAAGTTTCATGACATTGGATTTGGCAATGATTTCTTGGATATGAAACTGAAAGCACAAGCAATAAAAGAACAATGAACAAACTTAAAATTTTTGTGCGTCAAAGGATTCAATCAACCAAGTGAAAAGGCAGAAATGAATTACAGATTGGGAATATGTATCTGCAAATCACTGATAAGAGCTAATATTTACAAAGAACTTGATTATGAGTAAGAACAGGAAGAACTCTTACAACCAGACAACAGAAAACAGAAATGATCTGAATAACAAATAGTCAAGGGGCCAATTTTTGGCCTAGTAGTCAGGAGCTGCTTGGGTTGCTTGTATGCCTTACTGAAGAACCTGGGTTCAAGTTCCAGCACCACTCCCGAGTCCAGCTTCCTATAGGAAGGCATTAAGGAATGGTTCAAGTGGCTGGGTTCCTGCTACCCATGTGAGAGCCCTGCACTAAATTCCTGGCTCCATGGGGCCGGCACCACAGCACAGTGGTGCAGCACTAGCATCCCATTTGGGTGCTACTTTTGAGTCTTGGCTGTTCTATTTCCAATCTAGCTCCCTGCTAATGTGCATGGGAAGATAGGGGAAGATGATCCAAGTAGTTGGGTCCCTGTACCCACATGGGAGACCTGGAAAAAGCTCTTGGCTCCTGATCAGCTCAGCTCCTGCTGCTGTGGCCATTTGGAGAGTCAACCAGATCTTTCTTTGTATCTTTTCCTTTCAAATAAATAAATAAATCTTTAAAAAAATATATTCCTGGCTCCCAGCTTCAGCCTGGCTCAGCTCCAACCATGGTGGACACACAGGGAAAAAACTAGCGGTCAGGAGCTCTGTCATCTCTTCTTCTCTGCCTCACAAAAAAAAAAAATTTAAGTGTGTGTGTTGGAGGGAGAGGAGCACAAATGACTTAAACAGACATTTCTCCAAAGAAGAGCAGACTCAGTACTTGTGGAGGTAATGTAAGATGGTGTATACGCCACGGAAAATACTGTGATGGTTCTCAAAAATTAAAGCACAATTACCATATGATTCAGCAACTCCACTTCTGGGTACATACTCAAAAGAACTGAAAGTAGGAACTCAAGTAAATATCTATACACCCACATTTATAGAAACATTATTCCTCATAGCCAAAAGATGGAAGCAACCCAGGTACCCTTAATGGGTGAACAGATAAAGACAATGTGATCAACACATATAATGCAGCATTATTCAGCCTATAAAGGGAGGAAATTCTGACTCATGCTACAACATGAATGAACCTTGAGAACATTATTCAAAGTGAAGTAAGTCAGTTATAAAAAGACAAACACTGTATCGTTCCACTTATATGAGTTATCTAAGTAGTCAAATTCAGAGACAGAAAGTAGAATGATGGCTGTCAAAGGCTGGGTGGAGGGAAGACTAGGGGTGCCTGTTTAATAGGTACAAAGCTTTAGTTCTGCAAGATGAAGAGGAGTTTCATAAGTGAGGGGTAGTGATGGCTGCACAACAATGTGACTATAGTTAATGGGTGCTAGTTTTGAGTCTTGGCTGTTCTATTTCCAATCTAGCTCCCTGCTAATGTGCATGGGAAGACAGGGGAAGATGAAAATGATTAAGATAGTACATTTTATATTATACTTTTTTTAAAACTACAATGAAAAACAGAAGAAACACAGGAGAAAAGGAGATCAACTTTTTAAAGTCTAGCACTCACTTTTTTTCTAATTAAAAATAATGATCAATTTTCATCCTACTTGTTCTCATATAATATTATAGGAAAAATACTTACCGTCTCTGCTCCCAGAGTCTGCAAGCCAGTGTAAGTTCTGTCCAGCTATTAAAACAAAGGAGAATGTTGAATGTCATTGTGCTGCCGTGTAATCACAGTACATCACCTCATTTAAACACCTCTCACCACAAATATTCACACTGCATGATGTAGGTTATTCATCATTTCAACAGAAATACTCCATTTTCTGAGGGAAAGCACTGAGTTAATAACAGCCCTACACATAGAGTTGTTTATTTTAATATAAATCATATACTTTTTTTTGTTTTTGTTTTTAAAGATTTATTTTATTCACTTGAAAGACAAAGAGAGAGAGGTAGAGACAGAGAGTCTTCCATCCACTGGTTCACTCCCCAGATGGCCGCAATGGCCAGAGTTGCACCAATCTGAAGCCAGGAGCCAGGAGCTTCTTCTAGGTCTCCCACACAGATACAGGGACCCAAGGACTTGGGCCATCTTCTACTGCTTTCCCAGGCCATAGCAGAGAGCTGGATCAGAAGTGGAGCAGCTGGGTCTCGAACTGGCACCCATATGGGATGCTGGCACTGCAGGCCAGGGCTTTAACCTACTGCGCCACAGCGCAGGCCCCATTATAAATCATATACTTCTAAAAACATATCCTAAGGAAAATCTGGAAGCGGAGTAAGTTTTACACCAAAAGACATTTGCTGCAGCAACAGCATCTATACCCACAAACTGCAACAGTGTAAATGTGCAGTAGCAGGAGTGCTTAAGTAAACCAGGGTCTTCAGTTTCTGAAGCTCTATGCAGCCACTTAGATGATGCTTAACAAAAACTGTAGGAAAATGTTTTAAGTGATAGGTTATACAAATATACAAAGAAACAATTACTTAAGTTTTTTGAAAAAATATTTAGGTAGTGTAGTGTAGTGTAAGTGTAATTTCTTTATTTTAGCATTAGGAATGATTTGTTTTTGAGGAAAGGAGAATAAATTCATAGAATATTAATACAATTAAGTTCATATAGAAAGAGGCTAAATTCTTATTCCTATTTTTTAAAATAACGTATATCCTATCATTTTGTTAAAAAGGAATTCTAGGATAGGCATTGTGGTGCAGCAGGTTTAGCCACTGCTTGCCACACTGCCATCCCTATCAGAGTGGCAGTCTGAGTCCCTCTTGCTGTTTCTGATTCAGCTCCCTGCGATTGTGCCTCGGAAGGCAGTACTTAGGCCTCTGCCATAGGAAACCAAGATGGGAGTCCTGGTTCCAGCAGTTCCAGCTTTGCCCTGGCCCAGCACTGGCTGTTGCGGCCATTTGGGGGAGTGAACCAACATGTGGAAGATCTGTCTCTCTGCCTTTCAAATAAATAAATCTTGCAGGGGTGGTGAATTTCCATAGATTTGAAGTTCTCATATTCTTCAGGGCTCAGAAATTACACTGCTAGCTTGTACCAGCAGGTTCCATTCTTCAAACCAAATTTTAAGAGGAATATTATCAAAACAGTGAGAACTGGAAAAAACAGTGTTATATTTTAAACAGAATGTATGAATCTTAATGAAGAATGGGATGGGAGAGGGAGCAGGAGATGGATGTAGGAGTAGGGAGTAGGATGGTTTGCGGGTGGGAGGGTGGTTATGTAAGGAAACCATTAAATCCAAAAATTGTACTTTTGACATTTACATTTATTAAATAAAAGTTTAAAAAAAAAAAAAATAAACAGAATGCAGCTCCACAACCTCATGCAGACATTTAAATCCCAAAGTCTTAGTTAACAGTTAATGGATTAACGTTAATGTTGAATGAATTTAGGGTGGAGGCTTGAGCCAACTATGTTGTCCAAACGTGGGGCTCTGGGAAGTGACTAGATTGGATTACGATGATAGGGTGTGGCCCCGTGAAGACTCATGGTGACTTTATAAACTGAGACCACACAGAGGGTAGATGCACAGTGAGTTCCTTCTCTCTCTGCTTCCTGCTTCACGATGTTTCCTTGCACATGCTCTACCACTGTCAGCCTCAGGCCAGACTAACCGGCCACCAATCAAGATGGTCAATTTCCAAGACTACACTGAAATAAACCAAATTCCTTCCTTAAAAATTTCTCTCAGGTATTTTGGTCATAGTAATGAAAAGAGAGCACACAAGCAATGCCTGCTACAGGAAAAGGTTTTGTCAGGAGCGGAAAAGATGTAAGGAGAGACATGAAAATTACCATTTTTAGGGTTCCTATAAAACAAAATCTTGTTCTGTATTATTTTAGAAATCAACTAGGACAAATGGGATTAAGGTTTTTTTTTTTAAAGAGCAGTTATAGGTAAATTTATGAAAGAACCTTATAAAAATTTATTTACAAAATGGGTCAATGTGTTATCTTGGAAAGTGCTGTGCTCCAGTGATTGTTAACCAAAAGTTAAGTGATTACTTGTCAAAGGATGGAGGACAGGAGAATTGCCCACATTTTGGAAACTAAATTTTTTTTATTAATTAATTAATTTATTTGACAGAGGCAGTGAGAGAGAGACAGAAAGGTCTTCCCTCCTTTGGTTCACCTCCCAAATGGCCGCTACGGCTGGAGCTACACCAATGTGAAGCCAGGAACCAGGTGCCTCTTCCTGGTCTCCCATGCAGGTGCAGGGCCCAAGCACTTGGATCATCCTCCACTGCCTTCCCGGGCCATAGCAGAGAGCTGGACTGGAAAAGGAGCAACTGGGACTAGAACCAAAAGCCCATATGGGATGCCGGTGCCACAGGCAGAGGACTAACCTAGTGAGCCACGGTGCCGGCCCCCGGAAACTAAATTTATCTAACACTTGACAGTTTTTAACATTTTTATAAAGATTTATTTATTTATTTGAAAGGCAGAGTTAGAGACAGAGGAACAAAGAGAGTGATCTTCCATCTGCAGATTTGCTTCCCAAATGGCTACAATGGCCAAGCTTGGGACAGACTGAAGTCAGGAGCAAGGAGCTTCATACTTGTCTCCCACATGGGTGCAGGAGCCCAAGTACTTGGGCCATCATCCTTGTTGCTTTCCTAGGTGCATTAGCAGTGAGCTAGATTGGACATGAAGCAGCTGGGACACAAACCAGTGCCCACAGAAGATGCTAGCATCCCAGGTAGCAGTTTAACCCACTGTACCACAATGCTGGCCCCAAGTATTTGGTATTTAATGTTATATTTTCAGTACCAAATATATTTCATTATGTATTACAGATTTTCAGGCTATGGAGATCACTGCAGGCTTAAACAGCCAGGAAAACTTACACAGAAACTTGAGGAATGGAAAGAATTCAAATAAACACTGGAAAAAGGGAAGAGCATAGAAAGACACAAGGGAATAAGGTCCAGGGCTTTTCTAGGACCCGAGCAGAGCGACATGGCTGGAGCAGGATGCTCATGCACGGGAGTAGTACAAGATAATTCAGAGGAGTATATTACATCAAAACACAAAAGACCCTGGAGAGCAGGCAGAAGAGTGCAAACTGGAACACCAGGAACTCAATCAAGTTTTCCGAGAGGAGTCTCTTGACTGTGGGGCAGAATGGACAGGGGAAAGGAGAGAGGTTACAGAAGCCCATCAGGAGACAGAAGAGTAACAGTCTAGTAAAGTAGGGAAGGAGAAGGATAGAGTTCAAGGAAGATTATGATCTGCAACTCAACATATATTTAAAACAAAGGTAGTTCTGAGGGCTCACAGAAATAACAGGGAAAAATTATATTCTAGTACAAATAAAGACCATATAGACGCAATACAGGTGTTTATGGTCTCAAGGCCAATACACAACAAAATAATAAAAGCATGTTTTCCAAGAAATCCGGCAAGAAATACTTTACTGTCATTTGAAAACACTGGGTGTCCAATAATCTTAAGCCAGGAACTCTGAGTGATGTGTACAACTTAATATGTGCAAACTATCCAAGCAATTCCCTTTATTTTAGAAATAAGGGCTGGTCTGGGTACAACACAAAGTGTATGTGCAATGCTTAAAATAAGATAAAAAAAAAAGTATAACTATTTTAGACCTTCCTAATGGGACAGAATTCTGCCCCTCTGAACAAAGTGGCTGTATGCTCATTACTTTGTTTCATTTCTTCTCTGAGGTAATAAGGTCTAGAAAATATCTCAAACATTAAGTTAAACACTACTATCTCCAATGGAGGGTAAATTTCACATGCCTGAAGGCTGAGGTAACAAAAGGAATGAAACGAGAATTCTACAGATGGACTCAACTTTACTTAGTTTAATTTTGGTAGCCATTAATGGGAACAGTATGAAAAATCACAAAGTAAAGGAGCTTTGGAAGAAGTACAATATTAAAATTATATATAAAAAATATACATGAAAGCACTACAAAGAGTCTTGGAAACATTAAAAATGATCTGTCTTCAAACTATAAAGGTTAAACATACTTATTATAGCACAGCATTATAAAAATGGTACAAAACGCACACACAGAAAAAGGGGCCTGGGAAACAGCTCCAACATCATGTTATATTTCTTCTGTGTTTTTTCTTTTTTTAAAAAAAGCATGGTTGACCTCATATACAGTGTCATCCTATGCTTTTCATTTACTTGATAAAATATCATTTACAATGGCTGCATAATAAGCCATGTGGATAGATCGATGAAGGATTTCTACAATACACTGTCATCTTGCATAGTGCTTCACAGTTGCCAAAACATGTTAACGTCTACTTTTGTCCTTATGAGATAAATATATAGCTTTTATTCTTATGAGATTACAAACAAGGCTTATTATTAGCCTTATTTATAGAAAAGTAAGTTGATTAAAAAAAAACATTTTAGCAACTTAGTCCCAAATACCACTTTAATGGTGAGGTCTGATTGAAGATTTAAGTCTGATCAATTAGCTCATCTTTTTAAAGAATATATTCTTGTACTGTGCTGGATAACAACACCCTCCCCAGAGGACAAAGAACCATTGTAGTAGAAAGCATGACACATTCAAAAAGATTATCCTGCTCCCAGAGTCCTTAGCTACATCTCTCAGGAAGCCTAACACTATCAACTTAAATAGGTGGAGAAAAGACATTTCATTTCTAGAGCCATTGCTACAATATTGTTACAATACCTTCAGATTATGTATGATATCTATCCGTTTGTTCTGGCTGTCCTTAAAGTGAACTTGAACTCTGACAGGAAACTCACCCCAGCCTCTTCTGGTCAGGTGAAAAGGAGGCTCTCTAGAGAAAAGCAGATATTAACACATTCATCCATGTTCATGCTCTTGTTGCTAGAGAGGAAAAGCTCTCTCATAATGGGTAAACTAGAAACTCAAAGTCCTTCTGAGAATCATTTAGGTTTCCTCATTTGAAGCTAAATCAACATGGTGAATTTTGCTAACATGCTAAATTATGAAAGAAAAATTCAACTCAAATCTACATTACACTTCTAAATACTGAATGCTTAAAGTGAAGAGATTTAGCCTGTATATTCATAATTCAGAGTGTGATGTGATGAATGTCACACTCCAGAGCCAGTCTCTTGGACAGGCACTTGACAGACACAGCCTATGAAGTACATGTTCTCTATCCAATACCTGCAAATTATGCCTACTGAGGCAAAAACAAAACAAATGAAAATGCTCAATCACAAAGGGACAATTTATGTGAAACTGTCTGCTAAGAGGACTTAAAGATAACCTGTCCACAACATGATTTTCTCCATTTGCTTTGCTGACTATGATTTTAAGGTAGAGGGATATATATTAATGCTAATTGGACTAAAGTCTCAGTCACAATGTAATTTGTGAAGGGGGGAAAAAGAGGGAATTAATGCAATATTACTGATAAACTTACTGATTGGTGATGGGTAAATGAAGGTTCATTATACTATTTTGTTTTATATATGTTTAAATTTTTCTGTAATAAAAATCTTAGAAATTTAATTGAGAAATCTTTAAGTACTCAACATGGTTTGAGCTCATGGGGATCAAACAGAATGCCTTTAGAAAATGTTAGGAATCTCTGGCTTGGAATTATTACAATAAAAAGACTGTAGTAAAAAAGTTACTTTCAATGGGGTGTAGTTCTGGAAAACTAAAAACACACAGACTCAGTAAGGGCAAAGTCTAAGAACGCGAGAGCTGGAGGAGTCTGAAGAGGAGTAATGAATGGAAAGCTATTGGTTGTTCATTTAAATTTCAGTAAAGTTAAGTGGACAATCTAAGCTCACTGTGCAACATCTCAATCACACTGTTGGCTGAAGTTTTCTCACAATGAGATGATAAATTGGGTATGTTCCTCAACTTATATACATTGGCTAACCTCCAGTGGACAGGCAGAGAGGATGGACTGACTGCCTAGGGAAGGCACAAACCACACAAAGCTGGGAAAAGCAATCCTTTAACAGGAAATTTCTCCTCAACTGTGTTTCTGGAAGCAAACAAGGAATCTAACACCTACCAAAAGATATGACATAATCTGTGGAAATCTCACTCTTCAAAAGATGTTATTTCATACAAAGACTGCCTCCCTAAACAGAATTATTTTTAAATTCCTCATAAAAAGTGAAATATCAATGACCAAGAAAAAAACACCACATTTATTAGAAATATAGAATGGATACAACTCCTTACTCAACTACTCAAATCAAATAGCTAGCCAGTCTTTGAGAATCATTCCCTAGTGACCACAAACTCAGACTCCATTACATTTCTGAACAGCTCTGTTACCAAAAGATTTCCTTTATCTCTCTCCTGTTGGTTCCAGGTAGCCATTCAGAATCACAAAGAATAAATTCTTCATTCACATAAAAGACCTTCAAAAGAACTAAAACACTCCCCTAATCTCTCCAGGACAAATTACTCTGTTCCTTATAACAGCAGGCAGCAGCAATACTGAGCAGTGTCTCCTATGACCCACCACTGTTCTAAGGCCTTTTTATCTATTAACTTATCTACGCTTTACAACCACAGTATGACACATCCCCTCTGAAGCGGTGAGGCTGAATAACTAACTTCCCAAGGTCACACAACAAATAACTGGTGGAGTCAGGATTCAAACTCAAGGGAGAGGCTTCAGGGGCTGTGGTTTAACCAGCAGCCGAGGCCACATCACCCTGCCAGCAGGTCTTACTTCCCAAGCTGCTCTCCTCTAGGCACACTCTAGCAAGACTAGAGACTGTTGGACTAGTGCAGGGCACAGCAAGTCCACTTGACATCTAATAAAGTAGCCTAAAATAGCATAACCATAGTTAAAATTGCATACATGGCTCACAATGTGTTTCTACTGGGTGGTACAGCTGCACAAACTCCCATGACATTTCTGAATACATATGAACTGAATGAAAACACAGAAAAACTTTTTGAAAAGCCTCACTAGAATGCTTTCTGTGGGCCTAATCCAGTCTAGTCTCAGAAGCACCAAGAGCAGGAATAATCCACTAAAAAGGACCACATGTTCTTTGTGATCCTATATCAAGCCCTGAGCTTAGCACACATTTCATGACAGTCTTGCAGCTAAAAGTCAAATTGACAATCTCAGCATTTAGGAAGTTGGCAAAGACAGTCATGACAACTGAACCAAATGTGAAAAAGAGGCTTCTATGGGAGCAGAATCTACTGACGCTCTTCATCAAGTAACGTGCTGTGATAAGGAGATTTAGCGTGCAAGAGAAACATATCTGTGTGTTGATCTAGAAATATGGTTAACACTGAGTTTCAAGGCAACTGCAAAAGTTCTACTCTATTCATCAAATTACTTACATATTTTTAAAAGTTCTGTTTATTTGTAAGGCAGAGTTACAGAGAGGAAGAGACAGAGGGGCAAGAGATTAACCTTGCATCTACTGGTTCACTCCCCAATTGACCACAACAGCCAGGCTGAAGCCAAGAGCCTGGAAATCCATCAGGGTATCCCACACGGAAGCAGGGGCCCAAGTAAGTGCCCATATTCTGCTGCTTTCCCAGGCACATTAGCAAGGAGCTGGATCAGAAGTGGAGCTTCTGGGACTCAAACTGGCACTGATATGGGATGCCAGCATCATAGGCAGCCACCTAACCTGCTGCGCCACAATGCTGCCCCCTACACTTTTAACAAGTTTTATTTATTTATTTTTCATTTTTATTTCAAATCAGAGAGGCACAAAGAGAGCAACAGAGAGAATCATGGAGATCTTCCATCCATTAGTTCACTCCCCAAATGCCTCCAATATCCAAAAGTGGGCCAGGCTCAAGTCAGGGGCCTGGAACTCAAGCTCAGTCTCCCACACAAGTGGCAGGGATTGAGGTACTTGAGCTAGCAGCTACTGACTCCCAGGGTGTGCATTAGCAGGAAGTTGATTCAAAGCGCTGTAGCCAAAACTTAAACCAGACACTCTGATATGGGATGTAGAAATACCAAAAGATAACTTAATTGCTTTGCCAAATGCCCTCCCCTCATCAAATTAGACACTTGGTAAAATAACATATTAAGTTCTAAAAAGAACAATATTTTAAAAATACACATAAACTGGAATGTGTCAGGGACTATAACCTGGACAGCAAAAGACAGTAAAACAAAGTCACAAATGTACACTGACAAATAATGTGTACAATTCATACAGAAGACTAGAAGAGCCAACAGTTGCTTCTAAGTATCTGAACATCAGCTACATGGAGAGGACATTGTGATTCTGTGTGGAGTCACAGGCATATAAAACTTTACCATTTAGAAGTGAGAGGACACTAGATCTCTACTCAATATAATTAACATCTTCTGAACACACATAGCCACTGACAAATGGGTTAGCCCATCATATAAACTCAGTAATTTACTCAGATTTGAATATTTTACTAGCTGCAAAGAACTGTTACATTCTGATTTAAATAAGACAACATTCCAAACATCAAGAAGCTCTAATTCTAGTAAAGAGACAGACATGAAAACTAATATCATAATAAGACTTATACAGATCCCCTGTATCAAGAATAGAGATATGGTTTACCACCACAACTGATTTCTCTAGGGAGTTCTAAACAAGGATCTCTTTAAAATCTATCTACTTAAAATCCTATATTTATTGTTAATAAAGTGTGATCTGTGTTGGGAAAAGTGTGTGGTAATGGTATGTTTCACGAGGCTGTGAAAAACTAACTGATCAGTTACATCACAGTGGCTAGTCTACAACATACTGTCAGAGTGGCATGGATCAGACTGAAACTAACTGGCAGGAGCTATTTAAATGATGTCAAATATAGGCTGGCGCTGCGGCTCAATAAGCTAATCCTCCACCTAGTGGCGCCGGCACACTGGGTTCTAGTCCCGGTCGGGGCGCCAGATTCTGTCCCGGTTGCCCCTCTTCCAGGCCAGCTCTCTGCTGTGGCCAGGGAGTACAGTGGAGGATGGCTCAAGTGCTTGGGCCCTGCACCCCATGGGAGACCAGGAAAAGCACCTGGCTCCTGCCTTCAGATCAGCGCGGTGCGCCGGCTGCAGCACACCAGCCGTGGTGGCCATTGGAGGGTGAACCAATGGCAAAAAGGAAGACCTTTCTCTCTGTCTCTCTCTATATCCACTTTGCCTGTCAAAAAAATAAATAAATAAATAAATAATGTCAAATCTGAGAAATTTCACATAACAAAGTTCATTTACTACTAACAGAAGATATTGCAGATAAACAGACAGAAAGAGAAATGTGAAAAGGGACTGTGTGGGTGATCCCGTGAGGCTGCCTGCCTAGCCTAGCCCGTGCAGTTAGCCTGACTTCTAGCAGGCGGTGGGACCCTCAGGCACATTTCTGCCAATCAGCTTGAAGATCATGTAGCTAGGTTAGCTTTCTAGGTGGGCCTGGGCCACACCTGGGAGCAGTTTTCCCGATTGGCAAATAAAACAGATATTGGTTTATATCACTAAGTACTAAGGGTTTTATGCAATGATTTTTAATCCCTTTTTAATGAATCAGATATTCACCATCAATAAAAAATATGGTTAACACATTTTTAGTGACTCACATTATAAAAATGTTTTTCTGGGACAATGTACTTTAATTTTTACCAGTTAAGGGAATATCTTGTTGATATGGACATTGAAAAACATATATATTTTATGGACATTGAAAAATATATTTTAATATTATAAAAATAGCACTTTTTAAATCTATTTTTCACCAAACTCACTAAAATACTGCTCACCTGGAGTTGGGATAACTAAACTTAGACTACTGTTAAACTATAAAATATTGTTAACATCCCAAGCATTCAAGTAAATGATCATTTGCTGTAATTTAACCTGTGGAAGAAAGTAGAAGGAAGAATTCCTGAGGAATTAACCCTGATTTACATCTTGAAGGCTAAAAAAGTAGAACTTCAAAAAAATGCCCACAGTGTGTGTGTGGGTATGCATGTGTGTCCACATGTGTACAAGCGACAAAAGGGAAAAAGGCTATATTCCATGCAAAGAACATAGGTCAAGGCCATCAGTGGTTTTCTAGGAGAGGTTGAATGCTGCACTAGTTATACACAGCATTTCTTTCTTTTTTTTTTTTTTTTACAGGCAGAGTAGACAGTGAGAGAAAGAGAGAAAGGTCTTCCTTTTGCCGTTGGTTCACCCTCCAATGGCTGCCGCGGCCGGCGTACCGCACTGATCCGATGGCAGGAGCCAGGTACTTATCCTGGTCTCCCATGGGGTGCAGGGCCCAAGCACTTGGGCCATCCTCCACTGCACTCCCAGGCCACAGCAAAGAGCTGGCCTGGAAGAGGGGCAACCGGGACAGAATCCGGCGCCCCGACCAGGACTAGAACCCAGTGTGCTGACGCCGAAAGGCGGAGGATTAGCCTAGTGAGCCACGGCGCCGGCTCAGCATTTCTTTTTATCTTTAAAATTCATTTACTTTGGTGCTGGTGTGGTACAGCAGGTAAAGCTACTGCCTGCGATGCTGGCATCCCTCCCTAAAGAGCAACCCATATTCAAGTCCCGGCTGCTTCACTTCCAGCCCAGCTCCTTGCTAATGCACCTGGGAAAGCAGCAGAGGATGGCCAAGTACTTGGGTCCCTGCACCCATCTGGGTGACCAAGATAAAGCTCCTGGCTCCTAGCTTTGGCCTGGCCTAGCCCTGGCCACTGTAGCCATTTTGGGGTGAACCAATGGATGGAAGATCCTTCTGTCACTGTCACTCTGCCTTTCAAATACATTTTTTAAAAAGAAGATATTTGTTTGAAAAGTAGAGTGATAGAGGCAGGTCTAAGTTGAAGCCAGAACTTTATCCTAGTCTCCCACATGCGTGGCAGGTGCCCAAGTACTTGGACTATCATCCATTGCTTCCCAAGCACATTAGCAAGAAACTGGATCAGAAGTAGAGTAGCTGAGCTGTGAACTGGCACTCTGCTATGGGATGCCAGCCTTGCAAGCAGCAGCTTTATCCACTATACAACAATAGTACTTGTACGGTACATTTCTCGAAGGATTCCTACATCACACAGACAGTTAAACCAGATCACAGACAAGGTCTTTTCAACACTGAAAACTGAAGAGTAACATTGTTCCTTTCTCAATTAAACTCTACTACTGTAATAAAACAGGGTATCAACACACTTCTTTTTTTTTTTTTTTTTATCCTGGTCTCCCATGGGGTGCAGGGCCCAAGCACTTGGGCCATCCTCCACTGCACTCCCGGGCCATAGCAGAGAGCTGGCCTGGAAGAGGGGCAACCGGGACAGAATCCGGCGCCCCGACCGGGACTAGAACCCGGTGTGCCGGCGCCGCTAGGTGGAGGATTAGCCTAGTGAGCCGCGGCGCCAGCCTCAACACACTTCTTAGTAAAATGTTAGTAAAACGAAGAAGTTTTATAAATAGTAAAAGAAAGAAAAATCTCATTTGCACTGGAAAACTAGAACGCTACTTGATTCTCTTGGGTAGATACACTAATTAACAAGGTGATAATCATTAATCCAGAACAATTCCAATCTGTAACTTAAAAATTTGATTCTAAAGTTATTTGAAAAAAACACATAAGATGGCCAAGCAAAAAGATATTAAATAATGACAACAAGGGGAACATACTCAATGAAGTATCAGAATATGCTATAAATCAAACAGTATAAATATTAAGAGTCTAGAACCATTTCCATGTTTATGTGGGAACTTAGTGTGTATTAGATGTAGGGAAAGAATAGATCAGATGATAAATGGGATACTATTATCCACATAAAGATAAATGTTCTCTATAGACCTATATAAACCTCATTTCCAAGTGTTCGTTCGTTCTTTTTTTTTTTTTTTTTTTTTTTTTTTTGACAAGCAGAGTGGACAGTGGGAGAGAGAGACAAGAGAGAAAGGTCTTCCTTTGCCGCTGGTTCACCCTCCAATGGCCGCCGCGGCTGGCGCACTGTGGCCGGCGCACCACGCTGATCTGATGGCAGGAGCCAGGCACTTATCCTGGTCTCCCATGGGGTGCAGGGCCCAAGCACTTGGGCCATCCTCCACTGCACTCCCGGGCCACAGCAGAGAGCTGGCCTGGAAGAGGGGAAACCGGGACAGAATCTGGCGCCCCGACCGGGACTAGAACCCTGTGTGCCGGCGCCACAAGGCGGAGGATTAGCCTAGTGAGCCGCGGCGCCGGCCATACTTTCATTTTTTTTAAGACTTATTTATTTATTTGAAAGGCAGAGTTCAAAAGAAAGGGATCTTTCACTTGCTGGTTCACATCTCAAACAGCCACAGCCAGGAACCAAGAGCTTCTTCCTGGTCTCCCAAGTTGAGGCAGAGGCCTAAGCACTTGGGCCATCCTCCACTGCCTTCCCAGGCACATCTGCATGGAGCTGGATTGGAAGTGAAGCAGCAGGGACTGTGCCCAAATGGGTTGCTGGCACTGCAGCAGAGGCTTAACCCACCACGCCACAAGGCTTGTCCCGTGTTCCATTTTATGACCACCAAATTCTATCTTTCCAACACCATTCCTTATTCATCAAGTCGTTCTTCCACTGCTCTTATGTAATTTTCTTTTCTCCTTACTCAGCTGGATTCCTCTACAGTGTATCACTATAATAACCTACTCATTAAATAAATGACAAAAACAATAACTGAGAAAACAGAATTTGGGATGAATTGTCTATATGCATTCTTCCGTAAGAATGATGGCAAGAGTACTGTTAATCACATGCTAAAACCACTTTTGAAAGAGGGAAGGGACTTGGGACATGAGTGGATAATCACAACAAAGGAGAAGCAGCAAGTCAGAGAGGACTTCAAACCAGCTGTGGTGTTTTTCAGAGAGAAGGGAGAAAAGTGGTTTGGAAGCCACAACTATGAACAAGAGGGGACCCAACAGAACAAGATGTGTGGGAGGAAAAAAACAGCTGCCACTTGAAAAAGCTACAGAAGCAGTGAGGTCCTTGGGAGACAACAGGAGTTAAAGAAGTGCTCCAAACAGAGCAGAGGACCTAGGAGTTCACTTATAATAAACCACAACCACTTCCACAGCACATTCATACAATGAATGCATATATATGACATGTAACATTATATAAAGATGCAAAGACATCTAAATGATACGAGCAAGCTTCGTAACAACATGCACATTACCATTCCTTCTTTTAAAACATCAACAAACAACTATACTAGCTTATTATATATAGAGAAAAAAATCTCATTGGGGTTATTTCTGCGAATGACCATGGGGAATTTTCAACATGAAATATTACCATAATGTCAGAATTCTACATTTATTATATTTTGATATTCACAGAAAGCAGTATAATTTTCTACACATATCTATGTACTCAAGTTTCACTATTTGCAGAAGGGAGGAGAATCAGCTAATATAATGAGTAGGGTAATTAGCAGGAGTGGCAGTGCCTGTTCAGTGAGACAGTAATCTACAAGGAGAAAGCCAGCTAAAACTGTATTATGACTAAGAACCAATCTGGGTAAATTATTAATAGAAGAATTTCCAGAGAACGTGCTGGAGGTAAGTAACTGTTCTTCCACTTCTGTACACCTTTTCTTTTTTAGGTTAAATTTCTCAAGTGTACTTACCTAACTTCCACAAGGTCATTTGGTTTATAGCTGGGATGAAGGAAGAACCAAACTTTCTTGACAAAATGATTAATGCTGGGTTCTCTACGAGACCCTCGGACATACACCATCCACTTATGGGTTGACTGGTCATTTTCTTCCCTCTTATCTGGAGGTATATACCTAGAGGGGGGAAAGAAACAGAAATCTGAATTCCTTTTCCTTTGAACAAAACAATTAACTCTTAAAATTAAAATCCCAGTGATATTTAACAGTCATATCACCTAACCAAACAAACTGAATCTTGGCAAGTTAATAATTTTAGCTATTCTAAAGATTTTTTATTACTTTGGGTTTGTTTTGGTCTAAGGGGTACTCCTTTAGTTTGTTGTTCCCTAATTATCAGCCTGAAACTAAAAAAAGAAAAAAAAAAACACTTGTTTTTCCTGCCAAGTGGGTACCTGAGGTAGAAATATATGGGCCTGTATTTACCCCCGGGTTAAAGAACAAATGGACTTTGGGTTGACTTAACTCAGGTTTCAAAGTGCTACAGCTTTCAGTTACTCACTGCTGCCAAGGTGGTGGCAACTGGTTTCCTGCTGTATGACAGATAAATGATGCCATGACCTTATGTTGTGATTACGGTAAAAACTAACATGGTGGGGCCAGCACTATGGTGTAGCAGGTAAAGCTGCCACCTGCAGTGCCAGCAAACCATATGGGCGCCAGTTCGAGTCTCGGCTGTTCCACTTCTGATCCAGCTCTCTGCCATGGCCTGGGAAAGCAGTAGAAGATGGCCCAAGTCCTTGGGTCCCTCCACATGGGATTCTTTGCTCTTTGTTCTCACTTGTAAGAATCAGCCTATGAATTTCATGACCCCTGATGAGATTTTAATTGCAATACCTACAGATCAATTTGGCAGGAAGCAACATCTTTACAATATTGAGTCTTACTCTCCATGAATAAGGTACACTGCTGTATTTAGTTTTCTCATGTCCTTAGCAAAGGTTTTATAAGTTCTAATGAAACGCCACCATGTCTTTCAGCTAATTTATTCTATGTTTTACATTTTTCTTTATATAATAAAAGCATCTTTGTTTTTTTAAGATTTATTTTATTTATTTGAAAGAGTTACAGAGCAAGATAGAGAGAGAGAGAGAATCTTCTGCTGGTTCACTTCCCAAATTACTACAATGGCCAGAGCTGAGCTGATCTGAAGCCAGAAGCCAGGAGCTTCTTCCAGGTCTCCCACATGGGTACAGGGACCCAAGGACTTGGGCCATCTTCTACTGCTTTTCCAGGCCATAGCAGAGAGCTGGATGGGAAGTGGAGCAGACAGGACTTGAACTGGTGCCCATATGGGATGCTGGCACTGCAGGCTGGGGCTTTAACCTGCTGCACCGTAGTGCCAGCCCCAGTAAAAGCATCTTTTAAGACTGTTTGTAGGGGCCGGCACCGTGGCTCAGTGGGCTAATCCTCTGCCTGCGGTGCCGGCACACCAGGTTATAGTCCCGGTCGGGGCGCCGGATTCTGCCCCGGTTGCCCCTCTTCCAGGCCAGCTCTCTGCTGTGGCCCGGGAGTGCAGTGGAGGATGGCCCAAGTGCTTGGGCCCTGCACCCGCATGGGAGACCGGAAGAAGCACCTGGCTCCTGGCTTCGGATCAGTGCGATGCGCCGGCCGCAGTGTGCCAGCCGCGGCGGCCATTGGAGGGTGAACCAACGGCAAAAGGAAGACCTTTCTCTCTGTCTCTCTCACTGTCCACTCTGCCTGTAAAAAAAAAAAAAAAAAAAAATTTAGGCCAGCGCCGTGGCTCACTAGGCTAACCCTCCGCCTTGCGGCGCCAGCACACCAGGTTCTAGTCCCAGTTGCCCCTCTTCCAGGCCAGCTCTCTCCTATGGCCCGGGAGTGCAGTGGAGGATGGCCCAAGAGCTTGGGCCCTGCACCCGCATGGGAGACCAGGAAAAGCACCTGGCTCCTGGCTTCGGATCAGTGCGATGCGCCGGCCGCAGTGTGCCAGCCGCGGCGGCCATTGGAGGGTGAACCAACGGCAAAAGGAAGACCTTTCTCTCTGTCTCTCTCTCTCACTGTCCACTCTGCCTGTCAAAAATAAAAAAATAAATTTTTTAAAGTGACTGTTTCTAGGACAAACAGTCTGACACAGTGGTTAAGCTGTCACCTGGAACACCTGAATCCCGTATCAGAGCAGTTGGGGATTGGAGTTCTGGCTCCACTCCTAGACCTGGCATCCTGCTGCTGAACACCATGGGAGGCAGAAGGCAATGGTTCACGTACTGAATTAAGTTCCTGGCTCCTGGTGTTAGCCTGGCACAGTCTCAGTTGTTGCAGGTATTTGGGAAGTGAACCAGTGGATGGCAGATCTGTCTTTAAATAAATAAAATTTTAAAAAAATTTAGATCATGCCTTCAAGTTTGTGGCTGTCATACAGAAACAATCAACATTTGTGTACTGATAAGGTATTCAATAACCTTGCTAACCTATTAATCTAAAATTTCATCAAAAATTGTGGGGGCTGGCGCCATGGCTCACTTGGTTAATCCTCTGCCTGCAGCCCTGGCATCCCATATGGGTACCAGCTTCTAGTCCCAGTTGCTTCTCTTCCAGTCCAGCTCTCTGCCGTGGCCTGGGAAGGCAGTGGAGGATGGCCCAAGTGCTTGGGCCCTGCACCCGCATAGGAGACCAGGAGGAAGCACCTGGCTCCTGGCTTCAGATCAGCATAGTTCCAGCTGTAGCAGCCATTTGCGGGGTGAACCAACAAAAGGAAGATCTTTCTGTCTAACGCTTTCAAATAACTAAAAAATGAAAAAAAAAAATATAAAACTTGTTTGTGTTCAATGTACACAATCATACCAACTGTTAATCATAACGACAACTGTTATGGCATTCGCTTCTTTTCTAATTCTCATGCTTTTAAAAAATCTGACCACCTCAGCATCGCCAAGTGGAAGGCTGAATACTAGCAGTAATGCCAGACATCTCTTGTCTTGTCTCTGATCCTAAAGAGAAGGCTTCTTAATAGTTTATCACTGAGCATGATATTTCAGGTAGGTTTTTTGAAGATATTTTTTATCTGAATTAACTAAATTCCTAGTATGTCAAGAAACATGATAAATGGATGTTAAGTTTTGTCAGATGTTGCTTCCGTATCTTTTGAAGTAATTCTATTTTCCTCCTTTAATTTGCTAATGAGGTTAATTATATTTATCATTTTTTAATATTAACTCAAACTTGCACCTCTTGGCTAAATGTTTTATCATTTCTATATAGCTACTAAATTCGGCTTGATAATTATTTTGTTCAGTATTTTTGCATCTAAGAATATTAATGTACTTTCATGGAAACTCATTGTCTGATCTTATTAACAAAGTTAAACTGCTCTCACACATACATTGACAAATGCTGTCTCTTATTTTCCAGCAGATTTTACATACAATTGGAATTACCTGTCTACTCAACTTGTAAGGAAGTCTAGGCCTCCTGTTTTGGCTTTGTGATGGGAATGCTTAACTTACTTGAGACATTCTAAGACTATTCACAGTTTTTCCTTTCTTGAGTCATTCTGATTATGCTGTATTCTTCTAGGAATTTATCCATTTCATCTGATTTTCAAATGCAGTAGTGTAAGATGTCCATAGTTTCTTCTTACCTCTAACAGTGCAGCATCTATAGTCACATCTACTTGTCATTGATTTCTGACTTTACTGCACTACGGTCAGAAAAAATAATCTGCCTAATGTTAAGTCCTCTGATAAGGGCCAGCATAGTAGCACAGTAAGTTAAGCCTCCATCTGTGGTGCCAGCTTTCTGTATGGTCACTGGTTCATGTCCTGGCTGCTCCTCTTCCAACCCAGCTGTTTGCTTGGGGCCTGAGAGGGAGGTGGAAGATGGCCCAAGGGGAAGTTCCTGGCTCTCAGCTTCAGATCAGCTCAGCTCCAGCCATTGCAGCCATCTGGGGAGTGGATCAGCAAATGGAAGACCTTTCTGTCTCTCCATCCATCTGTCTGTAACTCTGCCTCTCAAATAAATTCTGGAAAAAAATTCTCTTGCTACTTGGGGAGCTTACTTCATTTCTCACTGTGGAATTAATTTTCATAAATACCTCTTATGAACTTAAAAGTTTTTTTGTGACTGTCACATGTAATGCTTCATATGCGTATATAAGAGAAACCTTGGTTAACTGATGTGCAATTTTTTTATATGCTCATGTAGCAGGGCAGGCATTTGACCTGGTGGTGAAGATTCTGATTAAGATGCCTAAATCCCTTGGGGCTAAAGTTGTGGTTCAGTGAGCTAAGCCACCACCTACAATGCCACTGGCATCATCTATGACTGCTGGTTCAAGTCTCGGTTGCTCCATTTCCCATCCAGCTCCCTGCTAATGCACCTGGGAACGAAACAGAAAATGACCCAAGTACTTGGGCCCTGCCACCCACACTGAAGACCGGGATGGAGTTTTAGGCACCTGGCTCTGGCCAGGCCCAGCCTCAATGGTTGCAGTCAAACATTTGGGAAGTAAACCAGCAGATGCAAGCTCTTTCTCTGTCCTTCCATCTCTAACTTTGCCTTTCAAACAAAATAAATAATTTTAATAATAAAAAAAAGATGCTTGCATCCCATACTGGAGTAGCTGAGTTCAGTTCCTAACTCTGCCTCCTATTTCTGCCTCCTAATTTCAACTTCCTACTAATGCAGGTTTCAGAGGTAGCAGGAATGATCCAAGGCTTTGCCCTCCTGGCTCTAGGCATCTGAGGAGTCAACCAGTGAATGAGAATTTTCATTCTGACCACTTGACCATATACTTGTCTGTACATGCCTCTCTTCTCTCAAATCAATCAACAAAAATTTTTAAGAATTTCATACCCTTATCTATATTTTGTTTGATATATCTATTGCTGCAAAGAGGTATGTAAAATCTTTCAGAGTTTGTCAGAACTTCTGGTAATTTATCCCCTTCTATCAATTTTGGTTTAGACATTTTAAGACTACATTATCAGGTGCACAGCAGTTTAGAATTTTATATCTTCTTGGTAGTAGAAGCTATTTTCATTATGGAGTAACTGTCTTACCCCATCAATGCTTTTAATCTAGTTTGCCTAATAGCATAATACCTTGGTTTTCTATTGGACTGTTACCAGCCAGGCAAATGCTTTTCTTTTCTTTTTTTTTTTTAAAGATTTTATTTATTTATTTGAAAGGCAGAGTTGCAGAGAGAGAGGGAGACAGACAGAGAGGTCTTCCATCTGCTGGTTCACCCCAGAAATGGCCACAACGGTCAGAGCTGAGCTGATTTGAAGCCAGGAGCCAAGAGCACCCTCCAGGACGCCCACACGGGTGCAAGGGCCCAAGGGCTTGGGGAATCTTCTGCTGCTTTCCCAGGCCCTAGCAGAGAGTTGGACCAGAAGTAGAGCAGCCAGACTTGAAATAGCACCCATATGGGATGCCAGCACCGCAGGCCGGGGCTTTAGCTAGGTACGCACAGCGCCAGTCCCAGGCAAATGTTTTTTTATTTACTTACTTACCTTCATTTTTTAAAAAGATTTATTTATTTTATTTGAGACTTAGAGTTACAGACAGAGAGAGGGAGAGACGGAGAGAGAAGTCTTTGTTCCATTGGTTCACTCCCCAAACGGCCACAACGGCCAGAACTAGGCTGATCTGAAGCCAGGAGCCCAGAGTTTCTTCCAAGTCTCCTATGTGGATGGAGGGGCCCAAGTATTTGGGCCATCTTCCACTGCTTTCCCAGGCCATAGGTAGAGAGCTGGACCAGAAGAGGAGCAGCCGGGACATGAACTGGAGCCTGAATGGGATGTGGCGCTGCAGACAGAGGCTTAACCTTCTATGCCACATCGCCGGCCCCAATATTTATTTATTGAATAAATAACAGCTGAATTTTAGATATATTATCTCAATCCAACAATTTCTTTTATCTATCTAGACAATTAAATCCACATACATTTTATGAGTGCTGGTATATTTATATTTGTGGCCACTGTTATGGTGTAGGTTATGCCCTTGCTTGTGGTGCCAGCACCCCATATGGGTGCTGATTAAATTCCCAGCTGCTCTACATACGATCTGGTTTCTTGCTAATGGCCTGGGAAAGTGGCAGAAGTGCTTGGGCCCCTGCACCCACATGGGAGACCTGGAAGAAGCTCTTGGCTCCTGGCTTCACAATGGCCCAGCTTTAGCCGTGGCAGCCATTTGGAGAGTGACTCAGTAGATGAAAGACCTTTCTCTGTCTCTCCCTCTCGGCCTGTAACTCTCTCTCTCAAGTAAGTCAGACTTATAAAAAGAAAAAAATTTTTTTTTTTTGACAGGCAGAGTAGACAGTGAGAGAGAGAGACAGTAGAAAGGTCTTCCTTTGCCGTTGGTTTACCCTGCAATGGCCGCCACAGCTGGCGCACTGCGGCCGGCGCACAGCACTGATCCGAAGGCAGGAGCCAGGTGTTTCTCCTGGTCTCCATGGGGTGCAGAGCCCAAGGACTTGGGCCATCCTCCACTGCACTCCCTGGCCACAGCAGAGAGCTGGCCTGGAAGAGGGGCAACCGGGACAGAATCCGGCGCCCTGACTGGGACTAGAACCCGGTGTGCAAGGCGGAGGATTAGCCTAGTGAGCCGCGGCGCTGGCTAAAAAAATTTATATTCACATTATTTGTCTTGCTTTTTCTTCTCTAAATTCACTCCTTTGCCCTTCTCTTCTTTTGGAATCAGTTTTTTTAAAAAAATATTTATTTAGGCCGGCGCCGTGGCTCAACAGGCTAATTCTCCGCCTCGTGGGCGCCGGATTCTGTCCCGGTTGCCCCTCTTCCAGGCCAGCTCTCTGCTGTGGCCAGGGAGTGCAGTGGAGGATGGCCCAAGTGCCTGGGCCCTGCACCCCATGGGAGACCAGGAGAAGCACCTGGCTCCTGCCTTCGGATCAGCGCAGCGCGCCAGCCGCGGTGGCCACTGGAGGGTGAACCAACCGCAAAGGAAGACCTTTCTCTCTGTCTCTCTCTCTCACTGTCCACTCTGCCTGTTAAAAAAAAAAAAAAAAAATTATTTAAGAGGCAGAGTTAGAGAGGGAAAGGTACAGGCAGACAGTGAGAAATCTTCCATCCGTTGGTATATTCCCCAATAGCCACAACACCCAGAGCTGGATCAGTCTGAAGCCAGGAGCTTCATCTGTGTCTTCCATGTGAGTACAGGGGCCCAAGTACTTGAGCCATCCTCTGCTGCTTCTCCCAGGCCACTAGCAGCGAGATGGATAGGAAGTAATGCACCTGGGACTTGAACCAGTGCCCATTTGGGATGCTGGCAATACAGATGGTGGCCCGATCTGCCACCCCACCATGCCGGCTCATGGAATCTTTTTTTTTTTTTTTTTTCATTTCATGTTTTCCCCTCATTACTCTGGAAGCTAAAGCCTCTATGTCTATACTTTTAATGGTTATGTTAGAGATTCAACAAAATATGTTAGACACTTAACAAAATCTAAAATTAATCAATGCTTTCACTCTATTCCAGAACACAGCAGACTTAAAAATACTCTCACGCCCTTCATTCCTTTTCTACTTGAAATCTATGGTTAACTAGTGTTTTAGTTCAAAAAACAAAAACAAAACTGAAATCAAACCACAAATTTACATGATTTGAAAAAACAAGCAACCAAAAACCCAGTGCTGTCTATCCCAGCCTTCTGTGGTGAGCACCTAGACCTACAATCATCTCCTTTTCTGAGCTGATCTGTTGTTCACTGCAGTTACGATCCAAACTCTGGCATTTCACATGGAATATCAGTGCTCTCAGCTAAATGCAGGCTAACTCTAAAAGAATCCATGAAACACATGCCTAACTGCCTTAATCCTATTTAATGCTTCTATTTAAATACTATAACATACGTGAAGAACCTTTGCTTGTACTATCCTCAGATTTTAAAGTACTTCATAGTGTTTATTAGTAGCCCATGAACTAGAAATCAGAAGTTTTGTTTTTATATTTGTTTCACCCAGATAACTACTACAATTCTAAATTCTTTATTCTCAATAATTAAATCCAACTATAATTTTCATAGACATCTATTTATTCATCCATCAATTATTTACTAAATACCAAGTACTGTAAGGTACAAAAACAAACAAGATGCAGTGGCTATCCTAAAGAGATTCTAGTCTGTTCTGGGAAAAAAAGATGAAAATAGGAAAAAAACATATTTTACAATAGAAGTGACAAAAGAGCACAGAAAAAAAATTCTAATTAGGGAGGGGATCAGAAAACAAAATCATGAAGAAATCACTTAAAATTACTACTGCTTAAAATCTTGGCCACCGAGATCAATTTTTCTTCATCAATTTAATCCCTATTTACATAAGGGATTATGTAAATCTCTTATTTACATCTGGACCAACTATTTACACAGCATAACATTCTTATGCTATGACGAGATTTATAACATCTTTATCCAGTCCTAGACACTTGGCAGAAAGCACGAAGCTCCCATAGACAGCATGAGATCATACTGTTCAAGACACAGAGGACTGCTCCAAAATCTTGTGGTAGAAACACTTCAGTCTGGGTAACTAAATCAGCCATTTTGAAATTAGCTAAGTCTCTGAAGGAAAGAACTAGGTCAGAAGATTAAAAGCTCCTCCAAACTTGCATAAACTTACACACTTAACAAAACACATTTGGATGAGAGCTCCTGCCTCAGAAATTTTCAACAAGCACAATTTTATTCTAAAGTCAGACAGGCAGACACACGAAGGCAGAGTCTCAAGTTTACTTTTCAAACAACTAAGAGCTTGGGAGGAACATTCCCTGAGGCCTCTTCCTACTGCACTACTGGGATAATAAGAGTCTGTATGCAAAGTATTGACATAAATGGATGACTGGAAATAAGACTTTATCCACTGTTTTATGTCCTGATGACTTGTTTAATTCACATCTCTTTGGTTTGCCTTACACAGTCATTAGAAAGGGCATAAAATCAAGTTTTGGAGAAGAAAAAAAAATGAAAGAAAGCCTTCACATTTAATATTTCCATTCTGAGAAGAAACAATAAAAAACAAATGCATTCACAGGAAGAAGAATCTCGTCTCCATGTTAGTAGTACCAATCACAAATAAATGGTAGTTGCCAAGAATGAAAATGTGTAGAAAAAAATGAAGATCTCAAAGTTGAAGTTTAGAGCTGTATGTGTGAGTTTTGCATTTTCATTCTATAGCCAATCATCTCTATAAACTACACAGGAAAACATGAAAGGTCACTATATATTACCTTATCTGTACTGACATTTTGGAGCAAACATTTTGCCCTGGTTTGTGGATATCTGTGGCAAATGTGCAAGGTGGAATGACACTGTATGGAGAAGCAATACAGAGGAGATATACCATATAAATGAAAAATTCTGGCTTTTCCCACTAATAAGCAAGACTACCCTATGAAATTCTCTTGAGTGGGATTTACTTTTGAAGAACCTAAACACGTGAGAAAAATAAACTCTTGAGTTCTCTTCCTAGTGTAATACTGTAATAATAAGGGTATTAATGCCAAAATATTAGCATAAGTTAATCACTAAAAATTAGACAATTCATCTGATACTCACTTGGACACATTGCCTACTACTATTGTTTTCTTTACAAAAAGTCGTGAAGTCTCATCTCCTGTGAGATCAGCATTCCGTGGATCTGTTTTATGGGAGCTAAGAACACTAGACATGTCCTGAAAGAAATCACATTCAAAATTCACTTTCAGTTTGAGCAATTTTTAATATGACGGAGATCATAAAAGATATGAATGGAATGACTCAGAATGTTTTTAATTATGGAATTCTCTAGCTTTGTAGCACCTCCCATGCATGACAAAGTAATTTATTATAAATACTATATTAATTTACACAACATGTCTATAAACTGTTAACTCCATGTACTTTTTTTAACAGTCATATATTTGCCTTGTATATGCACAAACAATGTAAAAAGATAAACAAGCAACTATTACAGTGGTTACCTTTGTGAAATGGGAATAGAAATGGAGCAAGGGACCAATGGAAGTGACTTCCTTTTCAGCTCCACACTATTCTACTACTCGTAAGTTTTAGATTGTTAATGTACTAAGGTCCAATCTTGGGCAGTTACTTAACCTCTCTTAGTTCCCTCATTTGAAAAACAAGGTTGATAATAGTAACTTTCCCACATGATTGTTTCTGTACAGTTCTTAGAAAGGTGCCTGTTACAGAGCAAGTGCTAAATGTTCTTTATATAAATGCATAAATGGTCACATATTGTATAAAAGATGTTAAGTTTCTAAATCCTATGACTAGTGTGACCTAAATTTTTTTAATCAAAAAAACACATGCAATATTTGCTCATGATTAATATTCAAAACACACAAATAAATTTGAACATTAAAAGATCCTGACTTTTGGGGTAGTATCCTTACAAATGACTCTTTACTCCTTTTCTGTATTTTAAAATTTTTACATGAACATAAATTCATGACCAGAAAATAAAAATTTATTAACAATTCCTTGAAGTCCAAATATGTAGAAAACAATCTGGAAATTCTCTCTAGCACAGAACACCTAGCTGAGAAAAATCAATGGTCTAATCCAGTAACAGCTATATCAAGTATTATTCCAAGAAGTATAAAGTAACTCAAAATGAGAGTTTAAGTAACAAATTTACAAGATCAAAGAGCAATAAATGGTTTCTAATTTTGTTTATTATCTGTCAGGTTTCCTCCAGCTACTAAAGCATCTGAGAATACAAAGTTTTATAAAGGAAACTGCTGAAGACTCTTGAAAGAATAAACATGGGGGCTAGCACTGTGGCATAGTAGGCTAAACCTCCACTGGCGGAGCCAGCATTCCATATGGGCACTGGTTCAAGTCCTGGCTGCTCCTCTCCAGTCTGTCTGATTATGGCCTGGGAAAACAGTGGAAGACGGAACAAATGCTTGGGCCCTTGCACCCGGAGGAGCTCCTGGCTCCTGGCTTTGGATCTGCTCAGCTCTGGCCATTGCAGCCACTTGGAGGTTGAGCCAGTGGACAGAAGATCTTTCTTTCTACTTCTCCCTTTCTGTCTGTAACTCTACTTCTCAAATAAATCAATCAATCTTTGGGAAAAAAACAACGAATAAATACGTCAGAGTGGAAAAGCTTTGGGCGAGGTTACAGAATTGACAGCTCCTAATGGTCTCCTTCCTATTTTCATGAATGGCATCCAGGAGCTGCGCTGTACACTGTAATCTCTTAAAGCAGAAAGACCTAGGCTTCACACTCAGTTCTGATATTTTTGGTAAAATACAACTTTGGAAAAAGTGTTTTGTTTATTTTCATTTACTTGAAAGGCAAAGCAACAGAAAAAGAGAGACATAAAGGTCTTCAACCAGCTGGCTCACTCCCCAAATACCCGCAACAGCCAGGGAAGGGCCAGGCTGAAGCCAGGAATTAGGAATTCCATCTGGGTCTCCCACAAGGGTGGCAAGGAACCAAGCACTTGAACCTTCATCTGTTGTCTTGCAGTGTGAATGAGCATGAAGCAGGATGGAAGCAAAGTAGCTGGGACCTGAACCAGCATTCCATTTTGGGATTTGTAGGCATTCCAACTAAAGTGCAGCTTAACCTGCTGCACCAGAACTGCCCCACAAATGCAACTTTAATCTGATGAAAACTCAGTTTCTCCCTTCTAAAAGGAAAACAATGTATTTCCTAGGGTGCTAGCGGAAGTTAAATGAGATAACATCACATATGTATAAAAACTACATCCTTTCTCCCCTGGCTTGTCCCCCTCATCCCGCCCCAATCCATCCAACTATACCCTTCCAGGATTTCGGCTTTGTCTCTGCTCCATGTGGTTTGAGAGTCTTTCCTCTATATCCAGATTGCTGTTATTATCTTTGTCAGATAAGAAGTCATTATGTTGAGATAAAGAATCACTTTCTGAATGATTGGCCGATGGTGTTTCTGATCTCTGATTAGCAGGAGATGATGATCTAGATGGTGATTCCAAAAATTTCTTGATAGCAGGATGGTTAAAAACCATTGTATCACATGTCTTTGATCCCTAGAAAAAATGAAAAAAAGTAAGCAAGGATTAAACACAAGCCATCAAAAGTAGGCAAAAATCTGATCCTTCTAAGATACCTTATCTAGCCTTCAGAATCTCCTGACACCCATAGAAAGAAGTCCAAACTCCTCTTACATAGTCCCAATCAACCAAACAAAAACGAGAGTGATATACAATCATGCAAAAGTTTTAACACTAAAAGCTAAAGAAGTAGGATCTTCTTATGATGAGAATAGTAACTTATGGCAAATAAAATTTCACTTTAAAAATGTCTCACATCACTCTACACAGACACATCAACTGCTCTAAAAAAAATATCCCTTTAAGACTGCTTTAAGGCCAGCGCCGGCACACCGGGTTCTAGTCCCAGTTGGGGCACCGGATTCTGTCTCAGTTGTTCCTCTTCCAGTCAAGCTCTCTGTTGTGGCCCGGGAGTGCAATGGAGGATGGCCTAAGTTCTTGGGCCCTGTACCCGCATGGGAGACCAGGAGAAACACCTGGCTCCTGGCTTCGGATCAGCACGGTGCGCCGGCCGCAGCGCGCAAGCTGCAGCAGCCATTTGAGGGTGAACCAACGGAAAAAGGAAGACCTTTCTTTCTGTCTCTCTCACTGCCCACTCTGTCAAAAAAAAAAAAAAAAAAAAAAAGAAGACTGCTTTAAAATGGGTAATAATGATGTATAAAGTTTGCCCTCCATCCATTACAGAGGCACAGGGTGTTTTTCTGTATCTTAGTTACTATGTTCTGTTATAATGTAATACACTCTAGTTATGTTACTAGGAAACAAAGCTGTTAAAAACTGTGTCATTAAAAAAATGTTTTAGTGAGGAAAAAAAGGAGCTGGAGACTAGCATTTCAGAGTCAAAGCAACAGTTGTTGATTTTCAATAAAGGTTTTTCAGAGCTATGTGTTTTGCTACTGAAAAGTAAAACTAGATGACTGATCTTAACAGACAAAAGCATAACTACCCATCCTTGAATAAATCCTAATCAGAAAATAACAGGATAAAATCAGTGCACTTCTAGACCAAATAGCACAGAACAGAACTGTCAGTAATAAATCAAGGTACAAAACATTAAATGAACAACTTCCATGCACATGCTAGCTCATGATGCGCATTTTGTTGAATCCAACACTGAGCTAACAGATGGTATCAGAATCTGTCCTGTGTTGAACACTGTTTCCCCAAAATTCGTATCCATCCAGAATCTGTGAATGTGACTTTGCTCTAAAATAGGGTCTCTGCAGATGTAACCAAATTAAAATGAAGTCACCTCGGATTATGATAAACTCTAATCCAAAACTATCATCCTTTTTCCCTACAATGATATAGCGAAAAACTGAGGAGATGCAGCTTCAAACCCAGAACACAAAGGACTGACAGCAGTCAACCTGAAGCTAGGAAGAAGTAAGGAAGGATTTTTCCCTGCTTCCAGAATCATGATAATAAATGTATAAAATAAATCCCTGTTGTCGTAAGCCATCAAGCTTGTGCTGATTTGTACGGCAGTCCTAAAATACAAATACAGATTCTAACATGTATTACTGAAATTTCTGCCTGGTATCTGAGATTAAACTCAAATGAACTCTAGCATCTATAAGGCAATGTCAGGGGCAGCAGTGATACCATGGACCCTAAAGTTCCACAGAGTACAAGAAAGCCCAACCATGACTGTTATCTCTTATCATCACCCTACAGTCGCTCCCCCATTTCTGCTGAGCCAGAACTGTCCAAGAGAATCATCTCTCATTCTAATTGAAAAAACTTAAGATAAAAAAACTAAAGAAAATAAGTTATGCCGAAATTATCAAAATGTCAAACGAAGAAATATTTTAATTTCAGTTCAGTCATATCCCTTATGTTTGTATTTGGACAGACTGCTAGGATAAAAGAACAAGATATTTATCATCTATTTGTCAAAAACAAAAGTAGGGAAAAAACCTTTCTTTAAAATTGATCCAGTGGTAACCAAGTGATCAAATTTAACATCAGTAAGAGGACATCCTGCTGCTATACGCCTGCTGATACAACACAATGTGAAGTACACAGCATCATCAATGATAATATCTCTGCCAAAAAAATTCAGTCTGAATCTCATCAATCCTTTAGACCTGAATTCAGTCTATAGAAAAACAGAGGATGAAAGAACAACCCAAGGAAAAAGATAAATCCAAAATGTGGAAATTCTATAAGATAAATGGTATGACCTCTTCAAAAACTCACTATCATGGCAAGGGCAAGGGGGGTGGGGGGGAGTCTTGTCCTAGATTTAAAAGAAACTAGGGCCAGCGCCGTGGCTCAGTAGGCTAATCCTCCGCCTTGTGGCGCCGGCACTCCGGGTTCTAGTCCTGGTCGGGGTGCCGGATTCTGTCCCGGTTGCCCCTCTTCCAGGCCAGCTCTCTGCTGTGGCCAGGGAATGCAGTGGAGGATGGCCCAAGTGCTTGGGCCCTGCACCCCATGGGAGACCAGGAGAAGCACCTGGCTCCTGCCATCGGATCAGCGTGGTACACCGGCCGCAGCGCGCCGGCCGCAGCAGCCATTGGAGGGTGAACCAACGGCAAAAGGAAGACCTTTATCTCTGTCTCTCTCTCTCACTGTCCACTCTGCCTGTCAAAAAAAAAAAAAAAGAAAGAAAAAGAAAAGAAACTAGAGGGGGACAACCCTGTGGCATAGCAGGTTAAAGCCCTGGCCTACAGCACTAGCATTCCACCCATGTGGGAGACCTGAAGAAGCTCCAGGATCCTAGCTTCAGATTGGCTCAGCTCTGGCTGTTGCAGCCATCTGCGGAGTGAACCAGTGGTTGGAAGACCTCTCTCTATCTCTACCTTTCCATGTAACTCTTTCAGATAAAATAAATCTTTTAAAAATTATTAATAAAAAATAAACTAGGAAAACAAAACAAATGCAACCCACAAATCTAGATTGGACCTGGTCTGAAAAACCCAGCTTAAAGGGCCGGCACTGTGGCGTAGCAGGTTAACGCCCTGGCCTGAAGCGCAGGTATCCCATACGGGCACCAGTTCTAGTCCCAGCTGCTCCTCTTCCGATGCAGCTCTCTGCTATGGCTGGGAAAGCAGTAGAAGATGGCCCAAGTCCTTGGGCCCCTACACCCATGTGGGAGACCCAGAAGAAGTTCCTGGCTCCTGGCTTCCGATCAGCGCAGCTCCAGCCGTTGCGGCCAATTGGGGAGTGAACCGGCAGATGGAAGACCTCTCTCTCTATCTCTACCTCTCTCTGTAACTCTTTCAAGTAAATAAAATAAATCTTAAAAAGGAAAAGACAGTAGAAACAAAAAGCAGCAGCTTAAAACAATAAAGACAACTGGGGAAATCTGAATATGGACTGGTTATCAGATAATAAAATTAATTATTACTCAGAGTAAAAGGACAAAGAAAACTCAAATGCTCTATAACTTATCCCAAAATAGATCATAATTAAATGAGGAATTAGGCAGGTGCAAATAGGTCTTACTCATCTTTGTATTTGCAAAACCTCACATACACATAATGCTAACAATTAGTAGACTAGTGTAGTTTGCATATTAGTTTGATTATCCCCCAAAGTTCATTTGTTAAAGGCCTGGTTCCCAGGGTGGCATTATTTAGGAGGTATAACATATCAGGCAGTCCTCAAGTCACTGGGAGCATGTCCTTGGAAGATAGTTGTCATGAGAGAGTTGTTAGAAAAACCCAAATTCGGTCCCAGGCTCTCTGCTTCCTGGGTCACCACCTGATCATTCCTCTGCAAACTCCACCATGCAAACTCCATGGAAAGCCTGCATCATGCCATTTGCACATTCAGCTTCCCAAACTAGAACTAAATAAATCTCTTTCAAGGGGTAAGTAAAAAGGAAAACTTATAAGTACAACTGACAAAGCAGAGAGGTATGCCAAAAGGACTACAGTTGAACACAATGACTGGTAAGTGTAGGATAGGCTTCTCAAAAAGGTCAACAAAAGAAATGTCTGAAAGGCAGGGAATCCACACTAACATAACTTCCCTACAGACAACAGATACAGTGGTTGGAGGAATACTCACCTCAGAAACTTTTAGAAGACCTGCAGAAGCATAATAGTTTGCTACAATGCAGGCACGGAGTTTATCCATCATCCTTCTTGCTTCAATCAGTCGCTAAAAACAAATGGTAATTCATTACTTTACAAAATGGCAATAACAAAAGAGATGTAGAAGCAATTCATAAAGTAAAAAAATACAAGTCAAAGAGGTCGATTTCTCTAATAATCAAAGGAAAACAAACTGAAATGACATTTTCCACCTATCTGATTGGCAAAGATTTAAAAGAATAACAAAGTGTTGCAAAGACATAAGCATTCTGATAAATATCTTCTTGTGTATATTCACTGAAAAATATGATATTAAGCACGAGAGCAAAGATGGATTAACTTTTGGGGTGCAATTTCAGGTAATCAAAAAATTCTGTAATTTTAACTTAAAAAACAAACAAATAGTATTTTCCTTCCCTCCCCCAAACCCAAGCAAGAAAGCTATTTTTAAAAGAACAGCCAAGGTGAAAAAGTAAAATGTGACTCTATGATGACAGATTATTTTTCAACAGTTTTGATATTTCTTTATTATCGTTATACCTGGTCAATGACTTCAATTTCATGTTCCTTATTCTTCATTTCAAGAGCAAACTGTTCTTTAATAATAGTCTCAATCTTCTGCACGGCAGCATCTCGAGCTGCACAAAGAACATAAGATACATCCAAGGCCTAATTAATCAGCAGCTGTCTTGATTTAAGTCAGCCAATAACAAAAGAAACCCAGGAAATCATGACTAAGTGGAGAAACCTGGCAGACTTCACCTTAGCCAAGTGATGAGAAACTAAAATCATGAATATGGAACCAAGTGACTCCAGTGTTGTGTGATATTATCACTATGAAGACCACAACATCACTGTAATGTCCCTGACAAAAATGCTGAATCAATTCACAAAAAGCCATGAAACTCAAGCTGAAGGACGTTTTACAAAATAACCAGCCTGTACTGTTCAAATATTAAAGTCAACAGACAAGGAAAGGTTGAAAAGAACGAGAAGCTTGCACTGTGGTGTAATGGGTAAAGCTGCCACCTGCAGTGCTGGCATCTCATACAGGCACCCACTGCTCCACTCATACAGGAGTCCACCTGCTCCACTTCCAATCCAGCTCTCTGCTATGGCCTGGGAAAGCAAAGATGGCCCAAGCCCAAGAACCTGCACCTGCGTGGGAGACCTGGAAGAAGCTTCTGGCTCCTGATCAGCGCAGCTATGGCCATTGCAGTCAATTAGGCAGTGAATCGTCAGATGGGAGACCTCCCTCTCTCTCTCTGCCTCTCCTTCTCTGTGTAACTCTTTCAAATAAATAAATAAATCTTTAAAAAGAAAAAGAAAAGAATGAAAGACTAAAAAGATAAAGCAATTAAATGCCCTGTGTAGGTGCCAGCATTGTGACACAACAGGTTAAGCTACCACCTACATCTCATATAGACACAGGTTTAGGTCCTGGCTGCTCCACTTCTGATCCAGCTCCTTGCTAATGTATTTAGGAAAGATGGCACATGTAGTTGGGCCCCTGTCACCCACATTGGAGACTGAGATGGAGTTCCAGGCTCCTAGCTTTGGCCTGGTCCAGCCCTGGCCATTGCAGCCATTGCAGCCATTTGGGGAGTGAACCAAGATCAAAAGAGTACTCTCTCGCTCGCTCGCTCTCTCTCTGCCTTTCAAATAAATCTTTTAAAAATAATACATGAATGCTCTATGTGGTCTGGATTGAATCCTGGAGACTGGGGGAAATAGCTATATAATACAATACTAGGACAATGGGTAAAACTTGAATATGGACCATAGAATAGGTAACACAGTATAACAATGTTAAAATGTCTCGTCTTCAATAACTATATTCTGGTTACATAACAGAATGTCCCTGGGGAACACACAGAATTGTTTACAGATGCCCAACTTATTCTCTAATGGTTTAGAAAGAAGAATAATGTACTTATCCACCTGTACATGTGTGCATGCATGCCCATGTATATGGAGATGGTGGAAGAAAGACAAATGAAATGAGGCAAAATGTGCAACTGCTGAACTGATGTGGTAACACATATGGGTGCACCTGGTAATTTTCTGCTTGAAATTATAACACAATAAAATTAGCAAGAAACAAAGAATGGGAAAGAAACAGAGGAAGTTTCTAAGAGAAATATGGGTGACCTTTGAAAAACCATAGCCTCAAACGTATATATAAACCTTGCATACAGAATGAGTTTCCCTACCCCAAAAATCCAAAACCCAAAATTTGAACCTTTTCAGTACCAATGTAACACTCCAAAAGTTGTGGGTTTTGCAGAACTCGGGATTCTGGATTAGGGATGCTCATGCTATATGTAGAAACCACTATTCTGGGTATGTGTAACAGGTATACATAATCCTTGGGTATACACACCTCAGACATTCTTAGCAGGCACTAAGTCAAATACCACAATTACTAAAAACTGTCTTTTATTATTTAGTCTCAGAAACAAACACTTCTAAATGATCTCTTTCATGGATTTAGTGAAAAATAAAATATAAGCAAAGAAAAGCTTGCCAACAAATCTACTTTGAGAAAAAATTCTGAAAAAACATGATTAGGATTAGGTAGAATACAGACACCAACAGAAGAAAAAACAAATTGCCCCTGCTTCAAAATACACATTTGAGAACTTATTAGATTTATATCAGTTACAGTGCTATTAAAATAATTACATTTCCCTCATTATTTTTATTTTTTTGACAGGCAGAGTGGACAGTGAGAGAGAGAGACAGAGAGAAAGGTCTTCCTTTGCTGTTGGTTCACCCTCCAATGGCCGCCACGGCCGGCGCACTGCGCTGATCCAAAGGCAGAAGCCAGGTGATTCTCCTGGTCTCCCATGGGGTACAGAGCCCAAGGACTTGGGCCATCCTCCACTGCACTGCCTGGCCACAGCAGAGAGCTGGCCTGGAAGAGGGGCAACCAGGACAGAATCCGGTGCCCTGACCGGGACTAGAACCCGGGGTGACGGCGCCACTAAGTGGAGGATTAGCCTATTGAGCCGCGGCGCCGGCCCCTCATTATTTTTATTAAAAAGAAGTTATGCCTTATGAAACTTTTGACTAATAGATGTAAGTTACATGATATTTTCTTATAGATTTTATTGAAAGGAAATAGAATTTCCTCATAAATAAAATTACACCTGAATGCAGCGAGAAGCATCTTTAATTTTTTCATTACTTAAAATTAGATCTGATCATTTTCTTTCCATAAAAATTTTCATTGACATAAATAACTTGATTATACTTACTTAAAATTCTAGAAATCCTGATCTTTGTGGAACTGCACTTTTTTTTTTTTTAATTTATATTTAGTTTGCAAGTCAGAGTTAGAGAGAGAGAGAGGAGAGACAGAGAGATCTTCCATTCACTAGTTCACTCCCCAAATGGCTGCAACAGACTGTGCTGGACCAGGCCAGAGCCAGGAGCTTCATCCAGGTCTCCCACATGGATGGCAGGGGCCCAAACACTTGACAATTTTTCACTGCCTTTTTTAGGCCATTAGCAGGGAGATGGATTGGAAGCAGAGCAGCTGGGGCAGGAAACGATGCCCATATAGGATGCCAGCATCTCAGCAGCACCCGCTAAGCCATAATATGGCTTTGAAACTGCACACTCTACCTATGATTTTGATGCCTTCTTAATCTTGCTAAAAATAATTTATATGGAGTATTTTAATAAAAATTAAAGAACTTTAGTAATAGTTTGTTTAAAAATGCAAATGTGGCTTCTTTTTTGAGGTAGTTCCAGACATTCTGGGTGAATGCAGACAGCTGATGATTTCCCCCTTAATTATATGATATTGGACAAGAAATTTTATGCCTCTGGGGCCAGCGTTATGGCATAGCCGGTTATGCTGCTGCCTGAAATGTGGGAATCCCATATGAGTGCTAGTTCAAGTCTCAGCTGCTTCACTTCTGAACCAGTCCCCTGCCAATATACCTGGGAAAGCAGAGGAAGATGCTCAAGTCCTTGGGCCTCTGCACCCATGTGGGAGACCAAGATGAAACTCCCGGCTCTTGGCTTCAGCCTGGCCCAGACCTGGCCATTACAGCCACTTGGGGAATCAACCAGCAGATTTAAGACCTCCCTCTCTCTCCCCCTCTCTCTCTGTAATTCTGCCTTTCAAATAAATAAATCTTTCAAAAAAAATTTTTTTTGACAGGCAGAGATAGACAGTAAGAGAGACAGAGAGATAGGTCTTCCTTTTTCCGTTGGTTCACCCACCAATGGCCGCTATGACCAATGTATTGGGGCCGGCGCGCAGCGCCGATCCAAAACCAGGAGCCAGGTGCTTCCTCCTGGTCTTCCATGTGGAAGCACTTGGGCCATCCTCCACTGCACTCCCGGGCCACAGCAGAGAGCTGGACTGGAAGAGGAGCAACCGGGACAGAATCCGGCACCCCAACCGGGACTAGAACCCAGGGTGCCAGTGCCTCAGGCAGAGGATTAGCCTAGTGAGCCGCGGTGCTGGCCTTAAAAATTTTTTAAAAAGAAATTTAATGCCTCTGAGCCTTAATTTTGCCCAATAGCAGTTAGGTGTAGAACTTAAGCTAGATCGAAGCTTTCCAAATTTCTATCATTCATATACCACCTTCAAGATACCTACCAAAATCTGGGAACCATGTGAAACATTTAGTTAAATAAGATTAAATAAAAGCTTTTTTAAAAGATTTATTTGAAAAGCCGAGTGAGGAAGAGAGATCCTCCATCTGCTGGTTCACTCCCCAAACAGCCCTAACGTAGGGGCTCAGCCAGGTCAAAGTCTGGAGCTAAGAACTCCTATCTTGTGCTACCACATGGGTGGCAGGGGCCCAAGAACTGGGGCTGTTTGTTGTCTTCCCAGGTGCACAGCAGGAAGAGGTAGAGTGGCCGGGACTCAAAAAGGTTTTCTGATATGGGATGCCTGCATCACAAGTGACAGCTTAATCTGCTGTACCAAATCACCAGGCCCACACAATGTATTTAAATGATTTTAGCTTTGTTTTAAGTAATAATAGCTATTAAACTACAAATCTGATGAGACAATTTTCCTATACATATTAAGATAATATGTAACTATTAAAAATAAAAAAGCTTAACCGATGTACCATTTTCAATCATTTCACGTGATCACACCACACTGTGATACACATTTCATAAACTTTATGATTATACCTAACATTCAGTGATCGTTAACACTTGTAGCCTGGCTCATTACTGATGCATTCACTGTCTACCTGATTATATTCCTGCCTTTTGTGTCACACATGGTGTGTTGCTATTAAACAGAGAATTTAGCTAATCCCACTCAAACTTCTTCAAATCAGACACAACAGTGGAAATTCATTTCATTTTGGTGCAAATAAATCTTAACTGTAGAAGCACATGTCAACAAGAAATAATTTCTCAAACAGATCAATTTCTACCTGAATTCTCAATTGCTTTATGCCGTTTATTTGGAAGGGCCACAGATACATCCTCATAATCAGGGTCAGTTTCCTTGATTGTTCGCTTGATTCCGGACATGACGACACTATATTTCACTGTAAAACAATAACAAATTAATTAATTAATAAATAGCACTGGATCACTCTAGTACTTAGAAATGTTATGTGTGTACAAATACAAAGGGGACAAATAAACACATAATAATGTTACTTAAAAATCTTTGTGCATATATTCTTTTTAAGACAAAAGCATTAAGTTTAAAGTTTAACCTCAAAGCTTTCCCAAAAGATTTATCATCATAAAAAATTCATCATCGGGGCCAGCGCTGTGGCTCAGCAGGTTAATGTCCTGGCCTGAAGCACCAGCATCCCACAAGGGCACTAGTTCCAGTCCTGGCTGCTCCTCTTCTGACCCGGCTCTGGGATAGCAGTAGAAGATGGCCCAAGTCCTTGGGCCCCTGCACCCATATGGGAGACCTGGAAGAAGCTCCTGGCTTCGGATCGGTGCGGCTCCAGCCACTGCAACCAATTGGGGAGTGAACCATCAGATGGAAGACCTCTCTCTGTCTGCCTCTCCTCTCTCTATGTAACTCTGACTTTCAAATAAATAAATAAATCTTAAAAAAAATTCATCATCACAGTGATCTGTTGAAAGCATGGGTTTCTCTTTTAAGAGAGAAACCCTTTAAACAGATAGCACATTGGATTTTTCAAAAGGAGACTGGCTGTCACAGAACTCTCAAGAGAAAAGGAGAGACCATACTATGATGAAAACATGGTAACTGTACACTTTAAGCATATTAAAAAACATGAGCAACACAGGGCTCAACAAATAATTTATTATACAAATCCTGTCTCTGGCACTTATATGGTGCCTTCTACATAATAGGCACTCAAAAAATGATATTATTGAAACTCATAATACCAACTGTATAGACAAATTAAAAAGTTCACAATATGATGAAAAAAGTCCCAGGTATACAAGTCCTTGAATAAACCAAGTCCATAAATCCTCTAGATCTGCACTGTCATAATACTTAGCCAGTAGTCAGATGTGGTTAAAGTTAAAATGATTAAAATTAAATCAAATTTAAAATTCAGTTTATTTTTCCACATTTTAATTGTTCATATTTTACAAGCAGCCACATTTCAAGTGTTCAATAATCACTGCGAGACAGTAGCTATCATACTGGACAGTGAAAATTTAGAGTATTTACATCACTGCAAAAAATTCTACTAGATAAGGGTTGGTGCTGTGGCACAGTGGGTTAATGCCCTGGCCTGAAGCGCCGGCATCCACTCCTGTGGAACTGTGGTCTTCCTGTTTTTTACTTGCTGAGTATTATAATTAGTGTCAAATTAAGTCTGTGAATATAGACTGGCTTAAAATTCTGTCCTTGCAAAAACTGATGAAGAGAAGGAAACGAGGGAGGGGACAGGAGGGGAGGGGGGAATATGGGAGTGAAGGAAGTGTGGTTGTCTTCTTGGAACTGTAGCTACAGAATGCACGAAATTTGTTCTCTTTATATAAATAAAAATTGTATTATGTTAGAAATGCATTCCCTTTATATAGATTAATAAATAATCAATAAACCTCATTTAATCTTCCTTAATGCAAACAAGAATTAAAAAAATACCTCCTACTTGCAGCTAAACCTAGAATCAGAAGTAGATAAACCCCAGATCTCTAAGCTTGTTCCCACATCATACCATTCTTAGTGGCCATGTCTTTTATGGTTTGGCAAGAGTCTCAGAGAATTATCTGTAAAGAGTCCAAGTTCAGCATCACCTTTGCTTATCCACCCTGTGAACATCACAAATCTGCATATTCTCCTACTTCCCAAGTAACTGGATCATTAAAGAAAATAGTACTTTGTTGTATCATCTCTTAAAGGACAAAACAAAACTCTCAGGGCAGGGGTTGTGGTGCAGGGGGTTAAGCCGCCATCTGCAGTGGCAGCATCCCATATGAACACTGGTTCAAGTCCTAGCTGCTCTTATTCCGATCCAGCTCCTTGCTAATGTGCCTGGGAAAGCAATGAAAGATGGCCCAAGTGCTTGGGCTCCTGCACCCAAGTGAGAGACTGGGCTGAAGTTCCTGCCTCTTGGCTTCAGCATGGCCCAGCCCTGGCCACTGCAGTCATTTAGGGAGTGAACCAGGGGATAGAAGACCTCTCTCTGTAACTCTTTCAAATAAAAAAGTAAATCTTAAAAACAATAATAATAATAATAATAATAATAAACCTCTCTTGCCTTTTCCTCTAAAACTGAGGGACTAGGCAAGGGGGAAAAAAGAGAAATTGGTACAGAGGAGGGTAAGGGAATAGCTACCCATAACTCATTTTGCATGCAGTCCTTGGACTTAAACTTTTCTTGTTATCGCTGAGGATATACATTTAAGCTTCCAATAGATACTTCAATTCTTCTTCATCAGAGACATTTAAAAAATGTCTAAAGAAACCAAAACAAAAGAACAGAAAGACTGTAGACGATCCATGAACTCCTGATCCATGAAACAATAAGGATGAATTTTTTTTAAAGATTTTATTTATTTGAAAGTCAGAGTTATCAAGAGAGAGAAGGAGAGGCAGAGGCAGAGGCAGAGGCAGAGGCAGAGACAGAGAGAGACAGACAGAGAGAGAGACAGGTCTTCTATCTGCTGGTTCACTCCCCAGATGACTGCAAGGGCCAGAGCTGTACCAATCTGAAGCCAGGAGCCAGGGGCTTCTTCCAGGTTTTCCATGTGGGAATAGGGGCCCCAAGGACTTGCGCCATCTTCCACTGCTCTCCCAGGCCATAGCAGAGAGCTGGATTGGAAGTAAAGGCAGCCAGGTCTCAAACCAGCACCCATGTAGGATGCACGGCACTGGAGGCAGTAGCTTTACCCACTACGCCACAGCGCCAGCCCCTATTTATTTATTTGAAAGTCAGATTACACACAAAGAGAGAAGGAGAGGCAGAGAGAAAGAGATCTTCCATCTGGTGGTTTGCTCCCCAAGCCAACTGGCCATAATGGCCAGTACTGAGCTGATCTGAAGCCAGGAGCTTCTTCTGGGTCTCCCACATGTGTGCAGGAGCCCAAGGACTTGGGCCATCTTCTGCTTCTTTCCCAGGCCATAGCAGAGAGTTGGATCTCTGAGTGGAGCAGCTGGGACACGAACCAGAGCCCATATGGGATGCCACACTGCAGGGGGCAGCTCTACCTGCTATGCCACAGAACCAGCCCCAGGATGAATCTCAAAATCATTACAGTAAGCAACAGAAGACACCACAAGATTACATAGTGAATTATTTCATTTATATAAAGTTCCAAACAGGCTAATCTATGATGAATAACATGAGAGGGGCCAATACTGTGTCATGGTAGATAAACCTGCAGCACCGGCATCCCATGTGGGTGCCAGTTCAAGTACTAGCTGCTCCACTTCCAATCCAGTTCTCTGTTTATGTCCCTGGGAAAGAAGTGAAAGATGGCCCAAGTGCTTGAGTGCCTATTCCCACTTGGGAGATACAGAAGAATCTCCTGGCTCTTGACTTTGGATTGGCCCAGTCCAACTGTTGCAGCCATTTGGGGAGTGAACCAGCAGATGAAGATCAACCTCTGTATCTCCATCTCTCAGTAACTCTGCCTTTCAAACAAATAAAATTTTAAAAAATAAGAAGAGAAAAAAGAAAGAAGAGAAAAAAATAAGAAGAGAAAAAAGAATAGTAGTTAGGGGTGCTGGTAGTGACAATTAGGAGGAGGACTAGGCCGGCGCCGCAGCTCACTAGGCTAATCCTCTGCCTTGCGGCACCAGCACACCGGGTTCTAGTGCCGATCAGGGCGCCGGATTCTGTCCCAGTTGCCCCTCTTCCAGGCCAGCTCTCTGCTGTGGCCCGGGAGTGCCCAAGTGCTTGGGCCCTGCACCCCATGGGAGACCAGAAGTACCTGGCTCCTGCCATCGGATCAGCGCAGTGCGCCGGCCGTGGTGGCCATTGGAGGGTGATCCAATGGCAAAGGAAGACCTTTCTCTGTCTCTCTCTCACTGTCCACTCTGCCTGTCAAAAAAAAAAAAAAAAAAAAAGGAGGAGGACTGAAGGAACTTTCTAGGTGATAGAAAAACTTTGCATTTTTTTAAAAGATTTTATTTATTTGAGAATGTCACAGTGAGAGAGACAGAGAAAGGCCTTCCATCTGCTGATTCACTCCCCAAATGGCTGCAGCATCTGGAGCTGCACCAATCCAAAGCCTGGAGCCAGGAGCTTCCTCCAGGTCTCCTATATGGGTGCATGAGTCCCGGCTGCTCCTCTTCCAATCCAGTTCTTTGCCATGGCCTGGGAAAGCAGCAGAGATGGCCCAAGTGCTTGGGCCCCTGCACCCACGTGGGAGACCCAGAAGAAGTTCATGGCTCTTGGTTCGGATTGGCTCAGCTCCAGCCATTGTGGCCATCTGGGGAATGAACCAGCAGATGGAAGATCTCTCTTTCTGTCTCTACCTCTCTCTGTAACTCTTTCAAATAAATAAACAACAACAACAAATAGACAGATTTATTTATTTATTTGAAAGGCAGAGTTAGAGAAGCGGAAGTTTAGCTTACTATGCCACAGTGCTGGCCCTGCAAAAATTTTGTATCTTTATAAAGTATCTTAATAGATACGTTGTATCTTGAAGGTTACATGGATATATGAAATCTTATAAACTAATCCAATTATACACTTAAAAATATGTATATTTTACTATATATAAACTATATCTCCATTTAGAAAAGGACCATAAAAATATTTTTCTTAATATGTCATTCTCTGCTTGAAAGTTTAAATGGCTTCCCGAAACATTAGAACCAATTCACACTCCTTAATGTGACCCACAGACCTTACATGAACTGGGCCCTACCTCCCATTCTCCCATTCCATCACATAATCTTCTTGTATTATCTTTCTTTTATTCTCTCGGACAGGCAGAGCGGACAGTGAGAGAGAGACAGGTCTTCCTTTTTCCGCTGGTTCACCCCCCAATGGTTGCTGTGGCCAGTGCACTGTGCCGATCCGAAGCCAGGAGCCAGAGGCTTCTCCTGGTCTCCCATGCGGGTGCAGGGCCCAAACACTTGGGCCATCCT